GAGAAACAGTTCGGTTGAATTTTAACACTTTTGTTCCATGCGATCTTCTCATCTTTTGGTGATACATTCGTTTGATAATCACTTTAAACTTAGTCTAGCCACAGCACTAATGTTTTATAATTAACTTCGTAGTTTAACTGTTCATTTCTTTGTCATGGTAAAGTATCTCTTTTAGAGTACAGAAAAAGAAAAAATAATGGAAGCCTAATAGGTTGACATTTAGAGAATGCATTCGATGTTAGACTTTAAATTCGTTGTTTCATCAGCAGAAACGATGCAACTCATGATAATTTATTCAACAGGAAAATACGTCGGCGCTATTATCAACATTATATTAAAAAGATACGCAATTCTGATAAAATAATTAACACCTTACTTAATTACAACATAAACACACATTAGATAGTTATGTGGTTTCTCAAACTTTTTTAAACTATCCCGTTTAAACAATGTCGAACCCCAAATTTTACGATTACTTGCGATACATAAGGCCATCTTGTACCACCGCTTATGTTTCCATACAAATACGCAAACGAATAAGAATCGAGAGTAAAGACCCGCTCGCTGGATTTCATACATTTTTATTTACAGAAATAAAAAAAAAAACTATTTTACTTCATTTCAATGTTGAACAAAATTTAAACTAGCAGTCAGCGGCTGTAAACATATTACCGAGCCCCCAACGCATAATTCACCCCCCACTAAGTGACCAAAGATAATTTCAAAGGGTACGAATATAAATTATATAGAAAGTGTTTTAGTATGTCAATCATATAAAATTCTTTTCACGTATCTACGTCGTTTGAACGTTTGCATTAGCAACATCATATAAATGTTTTATAACCGGAGTTGACGCGGCATGTGATAATAATCGCATTTGATAACAACACACGCGTGATCTAACAATCTGGTATTTTGACAATGAACTTCTTGGTGGCTAGTATCAGTCAGTAAACGTTTTTCGTCACATGCATTCATAAATAGAATAATCACTGAGCAATCAAACGCTATCATATTGGTGGCACGAAAATTTAGATACACAGTTTCAGTTTATTTCAGTCGTAATTCTAGGTAGAATTTAAAATCATAGACTATTTCAAAGATTATTTTTTTTATTTAACCTTTTCCAGTTTTTATATACCCATTTAATATCTTGATTAGAAAAACATAGACATTATTTTTGTTGTCATGTGACAATAAATTAATAAACGCAATAAATTTAATCTCGATAGCTGTATTGCTCAATCCGTCACGTGACTGACCAAGTGGCGGACTTATACTAACGCCACAGTATGGCCAGATATTAGGAGCGGCCAATAATAGCATAAAATATTGTATATCAAAAGTTAAATCATGATATATAAGGTAATGATGTATCTTCAATTATTTCTAAAATACAAACTTAAATTGATACAGGCATCCTGACTGTTGAGATTACTCAGATTTTTATAGTGCAATGTAATCCTAACGTGGGCATATCTATTCTTCATTCACATGTTTATACCAACAGATGCTAGCAATAAGTAATAATATTATATCATCACGGCAAAAATACAACAATTTTTTTTGGATTTATTTCAATAAACTTAGTCAAGAAAATAAATTTATATGTAGTGACTAAATTTAGAGAGCTAATAAGGGGGAACGGCTAGTACTACATGGCCAAGGGCGACCAAGCCTGGAAATCTGCCTCTGTCCATCCAGCTATTATATTAACCCAAAATTATTATAGTAAAGAAATATCATGAGATCCTGAACCGGTTGCAAGAATTACAAGAAACTTTAACAGAAAAAATAAGAATTTCTGAGTTGACTCCCTGTACTAAAGCGTGTCCGTGCAATGTTAACTATTACAAATTACGTGTTAATAAAATTTTCTATAGAATCACGAACATTAGAGGCGTGTCAGTGTTTGATGTTGCTATTTAGACAGTATTAAATAAAGTATTGTGCTGTGATGTGACGCTACTCGCATACAAACGCCATTTATAGCAGGTTAACTACTAACTCACAGCAAAAATTTGAAGAATAATCCTTTTTCATATCAAATAGTTTATTACGAGTATATTGACCGATCAAAAATATCATCATATCATTATAACAGGCATTATATCATTATTACTTTAACATTCTAATCAAGTTAATTAAAATGAACGAATGAACTAATAAATCTAATATAAAATAGTTTAATTATGTATTTCCCTAATTAGACTATTTTAATAACACTCTACATTTAAAATTCACATACCTTTAAACATATAACATAATATAACAAAAGTCGAATAAAATAATTATGATGACATAAAAGAATCCGCATAAAGAATATCAATTAACACCAAAACCTACACATGTAGTCATCCACCGCACCACATATTAAATCAGTAGAATTTAATTAGAAATATCATTTGTTGAATATTATTAACTAGGCGAAACGGAGACTGTTTGAATACCGCTGACCAAGATGAAGCTATTCTAAAGATGAGCTCAAACCAAACGAAATCGACGACAAATATCCATTGATATATGTCTATGAAATATTTTATGCCATGAGTTTAATTACCTACTTTATGGCGCCAATATTTTAAAACATTGCATTAATTGACATGTTATTTAATAAATATATATACATTTAAAACAACTACTCTCATAACAAAAAATATATTTCCTAAGTACATAATTTTCAATAATAAAATGTAAATAAAGGTAGATATTTTTAGATTTTGATTAAAACAATTGGATTTTTATTTTCGAATCCTGTTAGAAACGCAATAGACCTACGATGTTTTAATATATAACACAAATTTTAATGCAGACTACGTGCAAACGATGCATATTTGAAATGTATTACGATTACGATGTCATGTCAGCATATCTCCAATGTAAACCATAGGAAATGTTTTTAAATTGTATCCTAGACCTTTTGTTATTATAGATTAAGTAATGTTTTATCTGTACTCTATACTAACATTATAAAAAGGATAGATGTCATTGTTTGTTTGCTTTAAATACACGTAATATAAGAAACTACTGCACCGATGCACCTAAGAAAAACATTTCCGGAAAGCTACATCGTACACGGGCGTTAAATAAATGAATCTAAAGCAGCTAGTCATTGATGAATCTATAAAAAATACAAGCTTTTGTTGCATACAATATGTACCAGAGATCTTTAATCAAACCTTCCATTTCTATCACCCTGGATTTTATCTGGGACCATAGTCCTTGTCAATAAAACTCAATGATCAAAGGCTTAATTTATTTATCTACAGAGGTCTAATATTAATATTACAATTTCATCCAAGTTATTTTCATACACAAAATTTTAGCTCAACTAAAAATACCTATTGACAAGTTAATTAAAAGGGTAATTAAATGTTTTGTGAGCAAACTGAATTTTGTCGAACTTTACAAGGGAAATACGTGATTTATCAATCATATAAATACCACATCGATAAAAGATAAATTTTAAATTACATGCGTAAATTTATGTAGCTGAAAGAATTCACAAAATCAGTACAGTAGTTTCAGAAGTTATTCGTTACAAACAAACAAACAATCAAATCTTTCCTCTTTATAGAAAAGGGGCAAGCTGTAATTAGGGATTCCACATTGTTGTCTATTCAACGGAGCAAGTCAACCCGCCAAGAAAGAAAGAGCGTAAATTCAGACCCGGCATTATTAACAAATAATTATAAGAAAACGATAAGCTGTTCAAATATAAGTGTCATATAAGACTTCAAAGCTTCAAAACGAATGCATAATCAAATTCACAATCCACATTTAATTGCTAACACCAAACAACTATGTAATTATTATAAAAGATAACACACATAACCACACTGTCACTATTTACATATGTTTTATTTTAGCAAATAATTGTCACTGTAAAACATCGCTAAAGAAAATACAAAGCAGTTTACGCGACGCGTACGATACATATACTGCCCGACAAAATAATTTCATTAGCTCATTATCAACGTTCTTTACATAGAATAAGTGATAAGACTGTAGCAATTTACACTAGTCTTATGCCTAAAAGCAAAGTGCATCCGAGAGATATTTCACATCGATTGATGAGATTCTAACGAGTTAGACAACATGACAATATTTAAAGAATATACTTAAAGAATGGTAATAGATATCAGATTAAAAAGTTTTATATTTTTTTTATTTATTTAATTCTTCATGAAAAAAAAAACTGTACATTGGCAGACACATTAGGCGTTCTGTCCCAGTCAACCTTAGACTGCTATGGGGAAACTGATGATAGTACAATTAATATCCTTAATATTATAAAATATAATATTATTCCACTCATGTTGCCCCTAACATCGAGAAAAAACGCTTAAAAATATAGTTTTTATTGTGCAAGGCCTTGCCGTGCCAGTTGTTCGTTAGAGACAAACAAATAATATCTTAGGGCCCTTGCCCTAAGATATTATTTGGTAGATGATGAAGTATAAAAACAATATTCAAAAAAGGATTATGACGTCTACATCACGAGTTAAGCAGAGTCTCGCCTTAATTATCACGATTGTACTGCATTAAGAGCACGCACGCGCAAAGTAGGCAACTCAAAAAGCCTTTTTCTCAAATAACTATTCTTTGAACTCATGTGATTGGTCGTCTTATATCAACATAGACAGTTCGTGCTAAATTAACTGAGACCATATGTCCGTAAATATACAAGTATTATCATTTGACTTTAGTTGACACTCAATAATTGTCAAACAGGTGATCACTTTTTACAAAAGAACGGCCTTTGTATAACATTAAAAAGTAGAGATATTTTGGATTATGTATTTTTTATTATAAAAGTCCAGAAACCTGGCATCGATAATGCGTCGATATAAGAAATAATTTCAATTATCAAGACACATCATTAAAACAGCATTAACATATCAGTTCCCAACTACTTAAGAAAACATTGCTAGTGCTTCGTCAAATCTAAATTACAATATTGTTATTAATTGATAATAATTATATCTAACAAAACTTACCCATAATTTTCTTAGGCGGCACTTTTCTCTGCTCTTTCTCGTCCACGTCTTCCCGACGCATCAACTTTCCGTCGTGCCACTTCCTCTTCCGTCCCTCCCTCTCTTCCAAATACATCCCTAGCTCTTCCTCTCTCCCCACCAAAGTCAATCTCACTGTTGATTCCCAGGAATAGTCCTCCTTACGCGGGTCATGCATAGTATAGTCTTGTCCGAACTCCATTACAGGGGCATTGCCCCAAAAATCACTGAATGAAATGAATGAACGAGATGAATGATGAAGCGGTTTCCTCGGCGAGTAGGTTAGAAAAGGACGAAGAATGAGTTATACAGTTTCTTTATTCCCGTAGATTCTCTTTGACGGTGGCTCTGCAGGAGTTGGTTTTCGATACGCAAGAGCATATTGGTGCTATATCTGCAGAGGTGGTACTGTATGTGGGGGAACAGCCCCGGGATCAGTTTATTGGTGAACCGGCTTCCGATCAGATACGTTGGCTGGCAGGTGTGGATCTCCATGAGGTCTCCAAGTGCTGCGGTTGCACACTGCTTGTCTTCTCTTGGGCGTGATGCTATGGCTCCTGCAGACAATATTTGTGGGTAAGATACAAGGCACGTGAAAATATTTAACTAATATTATAAATTTTGTTGGTTTGGATGTTTGTTGCTTCTTTAAGCAAAAAATAAAAAGACCCGTCTTTGAAGCATATGAAGAAAAATTTTAGTAATAATAATAACCCCCCCGTATCATCAAAAGCTAGCAAAACCCTTAACTAACTCCCCTTATGCTTACGTTAACATTGGTATTATTTTACGAAATGTATTCAAGATTTAAATCTTATTTATTTACGACGGGCTCAATGAATCTGACCGGGTTCCCGGGTGCTACTCCTAAGGGTAAACCCAGGGTTTTTAGTGGATAGGCCCCAACCCTCAGCGAGGGGGTCCCACACATCCTTGACGCTTTACGCATTTTCCCTGAGTTAAAAAAGGAAGACCAAGGGGTTTTTAAACAGAGTTAAGTTGACTCGACCCTTAACCCTGATTTCTCGAAATTAAAAAACCTGTAGCAAAATGCCTTCATCGCGTGGATGAGCCTGTCTAACTGCATTTTTTGTTGTCAAAATAACTACGATAGCTGAAGTTAAATTAGTTTTTTTTAGTACCTATAGTCTAACTCAGACAGTAGTACTGCAGAATCAGTGCCAATTTTGAATCCATGCCCACTATCGACTTTAGCAAGTTCCAGTGGTTTTTTTTACACAGACAAATCATATAGACATATCACAGATTTTAGCCGATTAAATTTAAAATAAAGTACAACTTCAACCTTCGACCCTATTTATTTCTTATTTATAAACTTTTTTTACCGGAACCAGCAGCGTTTGTGCAATTGTATGAAAAAACTTACTACGATTGCGGAAGGCAGCTGATTGATTTTCTGCAATGCAACTATTGTTTAAAATGCCTGCATTAGATGTTATTAAAAAGTACCCAGGAAAAGTGGAGTAGAATTGTAACTGAATGGTATCCTAGAGAGGGTAAAAGAAGTAGAGGAAGTTAAAATATGTGAAGACGAGCTAAAACTAACCGCAGCACCTAATTGGAGAAGAGTTGCAAGAGACAGAAACCATTGGAGGATACTAGAGGAGACTATGCCAAGTGGCACACTAGAGATTTATTATAAACGACTTAATTATGTAAACCCAAATCAAATGTTCAGAATAAACGGTTTATTATTAAGACCTATTTTATAACTAACTTCTTTCTTGACCTGCATATAAAAATTCTTTCTACAACTTTAAAATCATCATGTAAATGGAAACAATTTTCTGATCTTCTTCCAATCTCCAATTTTAATGGGGCTCAATAATGAAAACTCTACAAACTTCAAATATGCAGAAGGTGGCTTTATCGTACATTTCAGTATTTGCAGAGTATAACTGACCTTGACATTAATCAATACTACCTAATCACCGATCACCTAGTTGACACAGCTCAACACATTAACAGAGTTTGCCATGTTCCAATGAGGAGGCATATAAAAAATAGTTCTCGAAATAAAACTACAGATACAACTTTTGATTGTGCAGAAAACAATGTTGCCATATTCTTGTTGAGCAGCAAAATTTAAATTCATAATTAACTAGAACTGTATTTACAATAATTCCAAAAAAGATAAAGCTACGCCCTAAACTAGCATAAGGTGTATCTTATCCAAATCAAAATATACTTACCAACCTACACTAACAATAGAAGAATCTAGACTAAGTTCATAATATGGAAGAGTACATATCTAAAAACAAATAATCATTTGTCTTCTTTCCCTTTAAATACATCATGACACCAATCCAATTCTCACCTTCAATGAGTCCTAAGCTCAACTAGAATCACTTTGAACAAATGTCAATAGATCACAAATATCATTGCACTAAAGCCGTGTTGGCGAACAACCACTTAAGGACGGCCATAATCCAGCCATCACCGTCTTTCACATACATGATAAGACTAGTCTATCATTTTGGAATTAACACAACGTTTTGGCAAATCACAATTTATTTTCTCCAATTCGCGATAGAACCTCAAATCTCGAGTTTTGCACGGGCTAAGAGCATACCAAGAACTGGATGGATAAATTGATGGTCCGGAGACGGTCAAATGAATAAGTACGCAATATTGTTGTTAATTTGCCAACCAATGGCGTGCGTCGACGACGTCGTTTGTGGACGCCTGGAATTGGGATCACTTGGCTCACAGGGTCATGTAATAGTCAAGTCAAGACGTTGTAGGGTACTGAGCATGGACAATTAAGGTTCCGTACTTTATTATACTGCATATAAATCCCAATAGTTCATTAGAAACGTCTTGACGCGATGTGCCTTTTATCTTATACTTTGGGATTAAATATCTGCATCGGCTATGGTCCTAAGAAGAAAATGAAAAGATCAAGAGAAACATCTCCATAGCACAGCTTATAAGAATTAGCAATGGAACATAATTCATTGTTTCTTTTATTTTTATTATCTCCAATGACAATAAGAACTCACTTAGATAAATAACTGATATCAGAGAAACAGTAGCTTTCGATGAAATCTTTGTGATCTTATAGTATGTTCAAATTCTTAACTTCAGGTGAAATCAGTACAATAGGTTATGATTATAAGTTAATAATATTATCTTATTCAATATTCATACTCTTTTCATTATATTATTCAATACTCTTTTCAAACCAAGAATCTTTTAAAATATCCGTAATACTTCTTTAATTTTATTACATATGGTGACACATCTCTATGTATATTTCTTCAATAAGGAACGTAATGTAGAATTTATAATTAAACAGCTTTAGAAAATGTTACTGTTCATAAATAACGGAATTAAACACTATATTCAGATGATAACAATCACTCGGATGCCTAAACCTTGCCCAGTGATAAACTTTAAAAGACGACCTTCACCTTTGATGTAGAATAGTTTTCGTCAACGCGAAAGATGGTCGCAAGGATAACGTCAGTTCCTCACAAAACGTACGAGATATTTGGACCTTTTTGCTTTTGGGCAAGATTTGATACTAAATTTTAAAGCTTTAGATCTCTAATATATTTTCCTGTAATATAAGAAATATAATCGGTATTTTTGGTAGGTAGAGGAATAGCACATTTTGATCTCTTCTATTTAATCTTGGTATTGAATAAATTATGGTACTCTAGATTCATTTGTCACGCAGGATAGTTTACAAAACCTTTTTAATTATCTATCCATAAGCGGCCGCAAAGTTCAAAATTTGTTGTTTATTCATAACCGACTTAATCCTACCAATTTTCAACTTCAACTATTTTCAACTATGCTAACTTAATCGTAGAAGAGCTAAAAGAAATGGAATTAAATCGAACCCAAAAATTTATAAGTTCTGTCCATTTGAACTTGAAAAGGGATAAACCTTAAAAACCTCCATAACGACAAAAATCCATCGAAGATAATTCGACTCACACTTGGCACATTTTTAATTCATTTCGCCGAACTAAAACGAATCCTCAATCCGATATCATGTTTTTATTTTACAGTGCACACTGATCTTGGCTAATGGTTATACTTTTATACTTTTTCATATCAAACAATTAAGATCAATCATCAAGCAATGTAAGTGCTTGCCAACGGTCCGAGAGTTTTAATTGATATTTATTACACTAACGTAAGGACGAATTGAATGAAACATTTGTATTAGGAATTCTTCTTTTTATTCATTTCAATTTTGCAAATACAAACAACCTCTAAATTTCAACAGCATTCAATGTTCAAAAATATTTTGGCCATCCATTCAAGACCGTGGAACCCCTTAAGTAAAATATTAAAATAAGTGAAATAGGAAAATACCGCCTTAGGCAGAATTTAAGCCTGAACATTCTACCATCCTGAGCAGGCAATTTTCCTTTAATATTTTTTTTCTTGCCATGTACGTAAATTGTTCGATGGCAGAAAAGGAAGGCCTGAGTCTCAGCATTGGGAACATCAATAGGATGGTGACAGTGAAGTAAATTGCTATAAAATACTATGAGCAGCCAACCCAGACACCTTTATTGTGCGTAAGTATTTATACAAATTTTCCGAGGTTGAAAGTGACCGCAAAGAGAAGAATGTTATTTTTTTAAGAGTACGACGTTTGGATCTAACTCTCCACCAACAGTAATCACATTCGGTAAATACAGGTCGTTATCGTTACAGTGCATCCATGTACCACAAAGGGGTTAGATCTAGCATTTATTGTATGCTAAAAAATAATAAGAATTTACTAAATTAAATGGTTGCTAAAATGAATGATCGCGTATATAAATCGATCACACGAAAGCACCTGCATCCGAGTGAAAAGTACCTGTTTCACACGATAGCAGCTCGTGCGAAAAAGTATACTCACGCTATGACGAGGCGTGGAGCTAATTGACTTCTAATACTAATGTTCATAGGAGCATGAAACCCAAAAATCACAACTATTAGCAATATATTTTCACAAATAGCAAACGCAATAGCGTATCGCGTGCTAACTCCTAAAAATTTGTATTGTTTTTTTCAGTCCTCTCCGCCTACGGGAAGATATAGATAAATTGCATTAAGCATTTCTTTCTCTCTTTCTTTTGTCTGATCCCAGTTATCTATACTAATATTATAAAGAGGAAAATAATATTTAAAGCTTTTACTAATATTATAAAGAGGATTTTCTTTTTATTATTTGCATCTATTAGGCTCGGAGACGAATGACCCGATTTCAAACATTATTTCACCTAAGGGAAGCTACATACCGCGACTTCAGCCGCGTAAATTATAGCGAAGTTACGGGAAAACAGCTAGTACAGTAGGTATATAAAATGTACTGGACGTTAGACATCTTACCATTCACCGTGATGTCCGCACACCACACAAGATCAAAATCTGCTCTCAATACTATATACTCTTCTTGAACGGGACCTTGTTTAGTATTATCAGATTCAGGCAAACGAATATTTCCATCAATAAAAATTTACAAAACGTCGGTAGGGAAATCTGGTTGTCCCTTTGTAATGCACAGTTTAGCTTGATTTGCGAGTGTTCTAAGGCACTGTTGAGTCTTAGACGATGAATTTTCGTCTGAAAAGAAAAGAGAATAGCATATTTAATTATTTGATGCGAAAACCCATGCACTAGAGTGGTCTCCTGCGGTTATATTCTGTTACAAAAACACCCTCGTCGAACGATGCGCTGTCGTAGATAGAAATTCAGTTAAATAAAATCTACTTCCAACCTACGTGATAAAGGTTCAAAGGGTAATGACTAATAATCGCACCAATCATTATTAAGTGAATATACAATATTTCACTATAAACAGTTACATAAAAGTGCATAGAAGTAGGATAAAGCGGCCTTATTACTAAAGTAGCAATCTCACTCAGGAATCCTTCAGGAAACTCTAACAAATTAATGAAAGCTGCAAAAAGAGGCAGTCAAAAGAGACTTCCAGGCATCGTCACTGAAACTTGTTGTGATAATTATCCATTTGATCCATTAGCATTAATTAATAGAACTGATGCGAATGAGAATGGAATTCTCGCGAACCAACAAGTTAACGATATGGGATACGGATGAATTAGACTAAGTTGCCATGGATTTTTTTAAATAGCCTGGATTAGCACACAGCGTACTAAGTCGTAATTTATACTAATTGAATAAAAGTTATAATATATTAGCATTACTAGAAACTAGCTATCTCTATAAAGTTCCGTTTATTAAGAAAGAGTGATGTAAAATGAATAAATTACTATCACTCATACTTTCGGTTCAAGCGGTGTTTTACTTTTAAACATTGAATCTATAGCTTTAAAACCTTAACTCATTAGACGGCAAGTGATTACTTCTACTAGACTATAGATACGAGTGTTAGGATCGGCGCAAAGATGTTTTTCTTCCGTACTCTCTTCGTACTCGCATCGCAGTCATCAACATTTCTATAACATTCTTACCTTATCTTTCTTCAAACAATCAAACCATCTTTACTTCGACCTTCTACTTCTCACATCTTTATCATGAAGATCATGATCATATAGAACATTTACAAGCTGGAATGCGAAATACGTTTAAAATATAGTAATATAATATAAAATAAAATATAATCATTACAACAAAATTCTCATCTTTATCGAAAGTTTCAATATTTGTAACAATATTTCTTTCGGCTGTTTGGGTGGATGCCTGAACATTGATGAGAATACGCTCTGTAGTAGCGAAAAGTAACAAGTGCTTGAAAGATTCGTCAGTCCTGTTAGGTCCTGGGTCGCTCAGTGGTTAGAGCAGTCGCGAAAGGTCGCGGGTTCGATTCCCATCTCAGGGTGCCAGGGACCAAGTGGATTTTTTAAGCATTTTGTATTAAGAATAATTTTCAGTATGGCATTGTGAATGAAAAATTAATTCAAAAAATGTTATAAAATTTATTTATTTATAGGCATCATCCAGGTCAAGATTCTACAACAAAACTGGGAACTATTGTGATTTCTTGCAAAAAAAAGCTGTCTATTTGTCATTTACACGGGGCAACAACCCGAAATTGAGTCAAAATTGCCTGAAAATATACTTACACATTAAGGTAAAATTAATAAAGTGTCATAAAATAGAAGAAAAATTTTAACCTTCAGGTTAGTTGCACTATCGTGCTCTATCTGAAGTAAAAATTAAAAGGGCGCCACGTGAAGGAAGACTCTTATTTCACAATTGACCGACAAACACCATATAGAGTTACGTCAAGCGAATGTGTTCTTTAATAAATGGTAATAAGACGTAATGGGAGGCCAGGATGGCGTGGCGCGGATGTTGTTAAATGTCGTTCGCTTAGAGTGAGATTTATATTGGATAGGTTTAGTTCGAACTGGTCACCGCGAGTAGGATTCAGTGTAACCGGTAAGACTGGCCCACATACAAAATTTCATTATTCTCTAAAAGTGTTATTCGGAAATTCTAAAATTTGGAATTCTAAATATTGACTTAAAACTGAGCAAAAAAAAATACCTAACCCCCTTAACCCTACCTTAATTTGTACCATACTCGATTTCGAATCGAGGGTGGGGGCCTGATATTCTAAAATACAAGTAGTTTATTGCCTAGTTTAAATGTCAGTCTCCTACAAACTATGTTTATTATTATACTAAGTATATTGTGTAGGTAAAAAATTGTAGAGAAAATAAATCATTATTATTATTAAGGTAAAGTTTTAGGAATAGAATCATTATGAGATCAAAACATTGTTGATGATTAGTTGAAGTTGGAAGCACAAAAGTTTAAACAACTATTGCTGCCATCTTATAATTAAGTATCACTCCAAAGACAGAAAAAAATGACAAGCTCTTTCAGTAGATTTTTGTAGACACTAAGTTCAGAAATTCTGTTTTTTAATTATTCAGAGTAATTATAAAAAATAATAAAGACTGTAAAAAGCAAGATGAAGAAGTGCATGGTCTTAAAAACAATCATGAAATAAAGTAGAGTATTAAAATAACCCAATTCGATCATATCGATATTATCGTCAAATTATTTGAACTCCACTTAAAAAAAAAATTATATTAACTTGGGTTGGAAAAAATATACTTATGTCACAACAAGACTAAATATTTTTTAAAAGGAATTATCAAATTTATTAAATTAAGACAAAAATAAAAATTAAGATAAAACCAATTTGAGAATTCAACCTTAAACAAAAAAATGGTACTTTGAACAATATCCATAGAAATATTTCAAACAATTTTGACAATAAAATAAATATTAACTCACCAAAAAGCATCATAAGCCATAACAAAATCGTGACCACCCATCTTTAACAGTGGCCAATCTATTTTTTGTCAATAATACAACCCAAAATCTCTTTGAAGGACTCGACTGGGAGACGCGGGCGCTACAATCAAATCCGACAAGTGTCTGAATTGCATTGCTCCGTTAATGTTACAATGAGGGGAGTGAACATATAGAACGACTTAATCATGTCGCATTCAATTTTGGGCCTGTCGACAACATCAATCGTTACGTAGGAATCAATTACGATGTAGAAGTAAAACTGAGAGTCTAAGTCAAATACGACTGTCTATTAATTGTTGCTTCATACCATGTAAGATATACTACATAGGTACATACACCACTTACAAATGAAAGCTTCAAGTAAATACATGAAATATACATACAAAAAAGAAACATTTAAAAAATATACGTAGAGTAACTAATCCAAGAGAAGAGAATTAGGATTATTAGATTCTGCAATCAAACTAAAGAATCTATAAGAAATGATATCAAATAAACAATTTTACGAGTGGAAATCATAGAAAAAGGTAGGTCTTGCCATCCCTAGAAGTCACAGCATTACTAAATTGCGGAGTATGCAATAAGCGGACAATATTTTCTATTACTATTAAGTCGGATAGAACCGGATCGCACCGGTATTGAGACTCCTGCCAATGGAATTGTCGGTTTGCACAAAGAACTTTTTTTTTAAATGTAGCAATGTACCTTGCATTAAATAGATTTTAAACTATCATATTAAATTTTATCATCACATTATTATTGCAGGTTGCAGGAATAAATGAATGCCGCATCCAATGTAGTTTCATTGAAACTTCATGATACGGCTGCTCCTATAAAGCAATTTCCTTGATAATCGAATATACAATGTACTAAATTACATTGACACTCCTCTAATGAGTTAAACCCAAGGTTGAATTACGATGGGTAAAATTTAATCAGAAAATTGTTCTGTAAGATTAAATTTTCAGTGTTCTTATTATTGACGATAAAAGAAGAAAATTTGTCATGGTCATGGGGATGAATGGGGGCATACAAGAACGCACAGACCAAAATTTTGCCATTCATAGTTCACAATTGGAAATATCCTCCACATACATAGCCGCATCCACATTAAACGATCCGAACGAATTTCATATAACTTCGCGCTGTGAATCCCGCGAGGGAACATCCTTATCCTGCCGTGCGCGGTTCCTTTTATTACGACTCAAAAGAAAAATGGGTCTTTAATGTGACCAAAACAATACAACAAACCGTTTTATGTAGGTTTTGTGGATTACCTATAAGCTTTCGACAATATTGACCACAATATTATTTAAGGAAATCCCATCTCTGGTTGCCAGGGACCTAGTGAATTGTTAAGCATTTTTCATTAAGAATATTTTTCAGTACCTAATTAGTTTAAGACGTTCAGGGAAAAGTGAGCAGCAGTGCCGGCTCAATAAAACTTGGCGCCCTAGGTAAAACACTGGAACTTGGGGCTATAGGCAAAATGTAAGTACATCGATTGAAGGGTGTAATTTTGCCAAGGGCAAAAGAAAATTTCATTCTTTTGAATAACACGGAGATGGGCTAAAAGAAAATTTAAAACAATTAAAGTTCTAATGATTAGAGCAAAAATATTACGAACGCCTAAGGCAGTTTCTTTATAGCGTAGCCAAATCGTAGAAAATGATGATTTCACGTTGCGGCCGACCATTTCATGAAACGGCCAACTAAAATTGATCATATCGTCCAATCTAACATCAACGTTTAAAGATACGGCAGTCCACGTTTGGTCATATCATTAATGTAGGGTGTACAAAAAAATAATAAAATAATTGACTGAAATAGCTTGTTTGTACATTAAAATGTTAGGTGATTCTGTGGTCTGAAAAAAAATAAGCTCAAAATATTATTATTATTGAAAACTGGTACACAGTTGCGGCAACTGATTGCGTCTTGTATCTGCTGAATTAGGTATATACAAATCACTTATTCCAAATAAAAACATTCTTAATGTATTTACGTGTTGTCCCAAATTTGAGACAGATGTCCCGGAATAAAACATAGTCCTTGTCTCTGTTCTTCTTCGAAATTTTGGCGTAATGAGTGCTACCTATTCCTATCACTGATGATGGACCTATAACTAGAAAGACGCAACATACAATACAGTTTTGAGTACCAAGTATATTGTACTTGAATTCAATGACAACCAAATCGAATGATCACTGATGATGAGGCACCTGCCACTAGCTAGAAGGAGTTGATATTCAATACAATTTTAAGCACCGTGTATAATTTACTTGAATTCAATGACAACCAATTCGAAACCAATACCACAGTGTAAATATAAGTATACAGTGGTGAAACTGCCTACAAGCGTTCGAAATCGCACGCACACATAAACACGCTCACCGACGAGCCGCCTAAGTGGACCTAACAGGACGCTCAGTAACGCGTAGCGCGTCGAGATGAGGGGTCACGTTATACGTTCCGCGATCGTTTTTATTTAAAAAATGAAGGAAAGATTAAGGAAAGGAGTAGGCTTATATGAAATAAAAAATAAGATTTTTGTATGATCTGGAAATATATTTTAGTCTGGAAATATATTTTAGCCGCCCAGTTTTCGCATATGTTATTTCTATATCATGTGGTGATAATAGAATAATATAAGTAGATATCACCGTCTGAACAAATGTGTATGTATATTGTTTGTTTGTTAATTAGTTATTACAATTCGATTGATTGATAATGTCAGAACTCCTTTCATATTTTGTAAAAGAAACATTCAAAACGACAACCCTATGGTTTCAATGGAGCGTAGGTATTTATTTTATCAAATAGGCTTAGTTTCTATACTGTGTCATTCTTATACTGTGCCAATACAGATCACTGATGATGAGGCACATATCACTAGAAAGACACGACATTCAATATAGTTTTGAATACAGAGTATATTTTACTTGAATTCAATGAGAACCATATTGAAGTCAAAATAGATCACTGATGACGAGGCACCTATCACTAGAAAGATTCGATATTCAATACGATTTTGAGCAACTAGTAAATTTTACTTGAATTCAATGACAACTAAATCGAAGCTTATATAGTTTGCAGTCGCAGCCTATGCCAAAAGGCAGTCCAAAGTGAAATAGAGATGCGTTCGAAGTGAAATAGAGAAAATAAATTAAGATCTCTTGGCGATTTTAATATGTCGCAATGTCTGAGGTCCCGGGTAAATTCATAATTTCTAGACTAACCAATGTAGAAAATTAACTGTCCTCTATTCGGGCTGGCTGCTATTGCACCTACGTTACTTCGGATTTCCATAATACATGTACTGAAAGTTACCTAATTCGACTAAACAGTTTCCTAGAGAGACTGAGCTGCTCTATTAATGGCAGCTTGACAGCGCCATTCTCATTACCTCTACAAGTAGGCACGGTAGATACCTTGGTAATTATCATTATTTGGTCAACGATTGATAAATTAAAGGACACCGCCGCACAGTTAAGTCATTTAACTGTAATGGTTAATTTATTTGAAAACCTATAGCTAAAGATAATAGAAATCCATTTTTTATAGCATTAAAATTTTAGCCCGCGTCATATGACGAACTCAAGAGACGTGAGAAACGCTCCAGAGGTTCGAAAGTGAAATATACCCATGCAATATCTATCTTATCTCTAATATATTCTTGGTCTTGTGATATTCTCTTCTCTCGACAACGTCATTCTACCCAGGCATTTCTTAGTTTCGCATTAAATGAATCAAAAATTCATTTATAAATTCAAGAGTGGTTTACTGATGGCGACTATTCTTATAAATATATGGCCCAGTATTAAATAACACTGATTACTGCACTGCGGCAGCCTTTTAAAAGTGGCAAAAAATAACGAATGTACCCTTCATGCCATATTTATTGAAATAATTCCAAAAATACTAGTACTTAATAAACTTCTGAATTTCACTTTTTAAATAAAAAATAAACAAGAGTTTGAACATGATTTTATTTACAATTTTTAAAACACATTTGTTAAAAAATATAACTATAAAAAACAAGTAAATGCTTCATAATGATGGTTTAATGAAGACACTGTATGAAGCTTTAGTTGAGACCTCAATGCTCCTGTATCTGTTTTATCAAAACAAAAGAATACCCTTTTAGCTCTTGCATGAACTAGAGCCATTGCACACATAAGACATGGTTCTCTTAACATATAAACATAATAATTTGTACATAAATAAGGTCCTTCTGATGGTGTTCTATCATCATTAATTAAATCTTCTTTGTTTAAGTACTTCTTTGCACCTATGTTTATTTTTGGAAACTTGACTTTTAAGTAATCGAACAAACCTTTTTCTACACAATCATCTGTTTTTTTTATTTCAGAGTTCCAAGCACCACCATTTTGAGTTTTTGCAACATTATCTATAGCTATCATAGTGGAATGTTGAACAGGATGTATCATACTATTGTCTATTCCAATAGCCACAACAGAATCAATGCTAGGATCGATAATAACAGTCACATTTAATGATGCAAAGATATCATCCGTCAAAACTTCTAATTCAATAGTTTTGTAATACCATATAGCTATTTGCAAAGCCAACGACATATAAAGTCGATGCACTTTAACTTCTTTTTCTGAAAAAAAGTTATCACCGGTTAATTTCTCTAAATATGTGTCAGGGTGAAAATTGCATGACCATATTCTATTTATTTCAGCATATTGCCTTTTCAGTTTCAATGGGCATTTTGGCACTTGTATAACAATAAAATCTTGAAAAGAAGCCATTAGTTCAGGGACAAATTTTTCAACATATTCTTCAATAGGCACACTGTTGATTAATTCTGTTGGACAAATTATGACTGTTTCACCGCGAACCCTTTTTAAATGTTGGAAACCAGTTAGTGGTAATTTTTCATTCAAAATTGTTATAACTTTGGATATGTCTTTACGTTGTTTAACACAGCCAGCATGCATGTTTATCATTTCTACTGGTTTTGTTAAGTCGTCACTTACAATAGCTTTGAGATTATTCAATGAATTTTGTATTTTGTCAATATAATTTGTGATAATTACATATTTTCCTACAGATTCATCTAATTTAAGCTTCTTATGACAGGGTTCTTCTTCCATTTTCTGACCACTCTTTGTGTTGTTATAAGTTTTCAGGACTGAAATGAGACAAATAACACTACTATTTCACTAAAACACTTTGTCACTTTCATAAAACTCACTGCACACTTATTATTATACAATAATTTTTTTTTTTACTCTATTAACAATGTTTACTTCTCTTCTGTTAATAAAAAGTAAGATGAAAATATAACAAGTCTGTACAATCATTATTATGTTGTTACAGAAATATCTTATATTCCTAATAATTTATTTGCTCATAATTATAATAAAAGGTTTAAATCAAATTTAAACTTGTAAAAGCTTGATAAGTGATAACATTAACTAAGCTGTTAATACTTTACATATGCTTCAAGGTCACTCGTGAGCAACTGTAAATATGTATATAACTAATAAGTTTAGGATAAGCACTGAAAATTTACAGTTGATTACTTTAGAAGGCAGTCAATATTTTATTAGTAAGGGTATCTAGTAACGAAAATAACTGATATCAATGTTAATAACGCGCGTAATTTTAAGACAACTGATAACAATCTACTATACGATAATTATACACAAAAATGCAAGTTTCATGTGCTTTAACTGACCTTAAATTTTACTTATTATTATTATCTTTTACAGCAACTCGGTATAAAAAATGTAAGTGATACACGTTATAAAATTTCAACATACGATTTTATGTATAACATGTTCTACAGTTTATTAAATCAATCAGAAAATGAGCATGAAAATAAAGAAATTAATGGAAAATTTACCTCACTATGTTGCGGTGTTTTCCATGGAGTTTCTTGCAAGCAAATAAGGTCCCAAAGTTGTTGTGGAAAATCACCAATATAATAACTTACAAATAGCACTTTAATCACGAAATAAATTACCTCTAATTAATCGCTAATTTTCTTTTGGAAGCAAGTAGCCATTAAATTAAATAGTTTTCGTTGACGCTGTCACGTCATATGTCACAAAAAGCGATTAACGTCACTGATTGTTACCTTTTGATTGGTTAGATAATCTACCTCAAAAGCTGTGAGAACCAATCATCGAACTGCTTTAGAAATTTTCACCTTGACTAAGAACGATGTCAGAAAACAAATTTGGAAACGTTTCGTTATAAGCATAATTAATTAATATATATCAAAGTAAAAGTTTAACGGTTTTCTTTCATTTTTAAAGTTTTCAATACTCAATAAACAACTCATATTCTATTTGTACTTTTTCGTATTTGTATTATATCTAAGTTTCGAACTTTTCAAATTTCAGTTTTTTATCCGACTGCGTAAAAACGAATTTAAAAAAATACATGACAGAATTAAATAAAAACTAAAAAGAAAGAAACAAGCCCAGTACTTTAGAATAGGGTATTTGACACTATCGAAAATAAGTTGCATTTTGTGGTCATCCTGATAGATAATAATCTAATAAAGCTTTCTTAACATCTGCAGAAAAAAACATGTTTAGATTTAGTAAAATAACGTAAAGAAAATGCAATATTTTTAGGAATTTATTCAACGACGAAAACGTCCTATAATTGGTCGTCGTAACAACCAATCACGAATCTGTTTACTGGCTTGTGACGTCATCAGCTGTCATGTCAAAGTAGTGTTAGAAAGATACATAAAATATCGATGCCTGTAGGTATCGAGTATTTTATAGAAATTTACTGATAACAGAATACTTTGCCGCTTCTCCTGATAAGAACTGCCAAAAATAAATACAGAAAGAAAGAATCATTTACTAAGCTTTTTAAAAAATCCAAGAAATAGGGAAAACGCCATCAATTTAAAAAAGAGCAACTTACATGTTTTTCTCATTTCTTGAACTTTAATACAATAATTCAAAATTACAAAGTCGATTTTGATGATATATACTGTTCTCCAAGTTAAAAACTAATTTAAAAAATCATCAGTATCTGATATCTAATTATCAAATACCATGCATTTAGTGAACAGACATACTACATGCATGTATATAAAAAAATAGAACATTCTTTATCGTACTAATGTCTCATCCATCTGTAGGTCGACAGACTGTAAAGTGCGAGCCCTGTCAACAATTATAAATGAGTCGTAAAATGCTTATGACAAAGTTCAAAACCAAAAAGAAAACCTTCAAATGTATCGATATGAAATAAAAAAGTTTCAATACTTTTAGCGAATCCTTACCTAATTTTATCATCCATCTTTACTCTATATAGCTACTATACTATTGTAATTGTGAATCTATTTTCTTCTAGACTCGAAGTTTGTTTGTTATTTATAGAAGTATTAGTACATTATGGCACTACGCACCACATGTGGCTCATTTTTTAAAGAAAACCAGAGCAGAGGAAAATAAAAAACGTAAAAAATACGCACTACGACTTCAATTTCTCTTCTAAATTATTATTTCAATTTACTCTAAAGACAGTTGTTACTTATCGATTTGACATATTTACTGGCCTGTGACGTCACGATCAGCGCCATTACATAGAGCAGCGTTTTTCGCGCGCTTTTGGCTATTTAAATTTTTGGCAATTATTTTCAACAAAAATAGAAAAGATTCCAATTAAATATTATGACAGTTTATAATGTAGCAAACAACGATTTAAAATAGTTTTCAGAAAAGTGTCAAATACCCTATTCTGTTAAATAATAAGAACAGAACGACTCATTAATTCGTTTCTACGCAGTCGGGATGTTTTTTAATAAATAAATACTACTTATACTACGAATTTAAATTAAATACACACGTTGCTCAGATTCCAACATGAGTAGCTACCTAACCCTGTATTAACTCTGTACTTAATGGACATCAACGTATAAACTGTTTAAAATCAAAATCATACAGTATCTAACTAACTACTTCCCAAACTTAACAAAGCCGCTAGAACCAGTTCCATTAGTGTTAATCCACATCGTCAAACAGAAATCTCCTAATCCCCAAAGCAATTACTTCTATTGACCATGTTAATATGAGCTTAACATAGTTTACGTTCTATTTATTGATAGAGGCTAAAATGTCTATATAAAAAAGAATATACAAACTATGTCCACTAAGAATATACCCACTCATTTTAAAAAGGGCCCTCTAGTATGCATTTACCAATTTAATCAGAAGGAAGGAACCATGCTCAAAACAAGCAAATATTTTCAGTATAATTGATAAAATGGCCCTTTGTGTTAATGTCACAACCAAGTGGTTTAATCAGCCGTCCAATTGGGTGGCTAGTCCTTTAATTTCAGTTCATTAGAAACGCATCATTCTGCAATACAGCTGAACAAAGGTCAGCCACGCGATTAACACGTTCATCGCGAGCCCAATTTTGAAGAACTTTCAGCTGGTGCGGTTGAGGTCGAATCAGCCCCAACCTGAATTTCCTTGTAGTGCGGTTGAGGCTTTTTCTGCCTCATGTTTTAATAGTTTGTTAAATGTGTTGTAACTTGATCAGGAACGTGATTCGAAGTCTGGTTTTATGCTAAAATTAATTATATGGTTTTGTTTTAACTACACCTAGCTTCGCCCCGGGTTCTGACTTTTAGTTTTAGAGAAAACACCTAAAATACATTTGAGGTAGTTTTAGACCTCAAAACGCACCGAATCTGGGCGGTTAGTGATGGCAATGAATTTATTTGCAATATCCATGAATGTCTATGTCAATGTTATACTTCTATTACTTTTTTATATTATTATAGTATCGTGAAAAAAAGTATGGGGTATTGTTAAATAAAATACAAATTATATATCGTTCATCCAAATTATTCTCTTTCTCTTATCTCCGAACCTTTTTGTAATCACTTCGCATGCTGTTCCTTAAAACAATGCAAGCACATAGCTTTCTTACACATTGAACAATTAGTCAGATTTTTTTACTTTCTTTGCAGCCTGCATGGCACTCAATGAAAGCCGTAATTTTGCACTCGAAACAGATTTCTTACCAACTTTAACTCGTTGTTTATCTTTCTCACTGTCCTAATCAATAAAAATATATTTTTACCTTTTGCTGCACTGTTTACGAATTTTATTGTCCATATTTGTCTAATTATATAAACAAAAAAATATAAGACAACGATATATATATTGCGAAAAGACACGTGGACTGTTGTAGCGGCACTAAAGTCGACTTAACTGCTCTCGCGCCGCCCGCGCCCCCCACCGCTTGAGGTCGGAATCGGCGTCAACCCGCACCTTATTAAATAATTTTGTGTTCAGTGCGTTTGAGACTTATTTTGACCTCAAGTGTTTTTTTTATACTATCGAGTTAATGTTTCGCATAGATAAAGATATCTATATTTGTCTTTGTCGTACGTCATACCGTTGAGTGTAAACAGCCACCGCACGAGAGAGAAAACATGAGTTATACGCGCCGCACCAGCCCAAAGTCTACCATGAGGCTGAACCGACCTCAAGCCGCAGTGAACGTGTTAACTGTCAATTCATCGGGAAGGGAAAAAGTAAAAGAAACTTTAAGAACTGGTTGTTCTGATCTGTAATCGATACAGATATAGGACTGACCAATAAGAAACAAACAGTTTTTCCGTGATTGGGTGTTAATGGTCCGTATTATCAAATGCGGGATACTAATGTAGACACCGATAACGCAAGTGAGTTAAGCTTAACCTTTCAGTTTCTATTTTTTTGGTTCACAACTTTGTAGTGATGAGCCCCTTACTCGCGATGTGCCTCTTTTGAGGTCCTCATATCAACAAAATGAGAAAGAACTCGTTTTTCAATTTTGAAACATCTCATTAGCTCCTCACTTTTTGAACCTTCAAGCACGAGGCGCGAACACAGATATTACACCTCACGCAACAGAATAGCGAGTTGTTTTGAATGAAAAGACGACTCGATACTTACTCAATATATTCCATATTGAAGGAACGGGTTAAGTTTAACGATTTAGGTTTGTTTATATGTTTCTACGCAAATTTTTAACCTAAGAAACCTATTTTTTAACCTACTCGTATTAAATAATTTATAGAAAAATTAGTAAAAAGTAAAAAGTCTTAGTAAAAACCAAAGTTAATAACAATGTATCGGTTTAATTTAGAAATATATTAATATTCCGTTGTTCCTTTTTTAAAATCGATTAATTGGTGATTATTTTTCGATTTGAAATATAAATGATTAATAGATTTTAAAGAAGGAACATTTGACACTATTAAAAATAAGTTGCGTGTTGTGGTCATTCTGTTAAAAAATAATCTAATAAAGTTTATTTCTTAGAATCTAAAGACAAAATATGTTTTGTTTAGAATTACCGACTACCTCCCTCGTTTTGTACCAAACGGCAACGTTGCGCACGCGTCGCTACGTACTCATTCATTGCTGAATGAGTTACACAACGCTGCAACCTTAGGGATTCGAAATTACCTTCAAAACGGGAGAAGGAGGCGATGAATTCTTTCTTTGGATACCACGCATTTAATTCTGAAGGGGCTCTGCTTATCGAGTATACAAACTGTCATAGTAAATTCATAAAAAGACGATATACCGCGATTCAGACAGCGCCATCTATCGAAAATCAAAATTTGACTGCGATTGTTTTAGTATGTTTATGACGATTTTGAAGTTTAGTGCTATAATAGTAATAGTTAATAACTAATAATAATAAACAACGAAGTTATTTTGGTCTTGTAGGTCACGTGATTTAGAAATTTAAGACGATCGCGAAACATTGAGGTTTAAATCAAACGGAGAAATGCGACAACATGGAATAGGCTAGACGAAACGCGGATAGCTCCCCCGATGCACCCTCACTTTTGGAGGAGGAGGGGATTATAACCTGATGTTCTGTTGAATGTACTTATCCACTTTATGGTAAGTTTAACAGTGAGATGAAGAATATTCTTTCGTTCTGGATATTAAATAGGTACGCAGTGAAACTTCAAAATCAGTTATAATCAAATGTTTTATTTATTTAAGGTCATAAACACTATATTGCAGATATAATACATAAAGGCAGTGTAACAAAGTTATGCATAGTTATATACCTATTTATGTTTAGTCAAAAGGAACGAAGATAATCTTTTATTCACTTTTCCAAACTTTGGTACCACGCCTGACAAGTTTCTGAAGAAATTTCGCAGAGAGCTGATAAAGCCTTGTTGGTTGAATCATATTCTGGAAAAAAAATATCATTAGTATTTGAAGATTATATTCACAGTTTGTTAGTTTTTCAAAGGGTAAAGCAGGGCGATGTATTTCTGTTGCCGCTTTAACAACAAATACTAAAAACCAGAATGAAATGGGGCCTCCGATACAACAAACGTGAATTTTTGGTTATTTTTGCTCGATATTGATAACGACCACAGGCGGCCGCTTAAAATATTTACAGTTAAAATATTATTAAAGTTATAAAAAATAAAGCCCTTTCAAATAGAGGGGCTCCCATACAACAAACGTAATATTTTTGCTCATTTTTACAACTCACATGATCGTTTTTTTATTAAGTAAATCATAGGTATGTCCCGTAATTTTGATTTTAGTGTAATGCGAAAAATATACAAAAAAGTTTATTATTTATTGCTAAGTAGCAATTTCTCATAAGACTACCGTAAGTATGTCCTTAGATCTTTATCATTATGTAATTCTTTTTTACTTACACATACCAGTAAGTACAACAGGTTATCACAATATATCAAATTATCGCAATTGACTTTCAAATCTACCGTCAACGTGTTTAGGTTTAAAATTGATTAAAGAAATTTAAAAGATTTGTATAACCTGACGTGCTGTGGTCTGTACCTAAATAGACATTATTTTATGATATACTTAAAAAGAATAATACCAGGAGTTTCACATCACAATTGTAGAATAATAATTCTACAACAGTAGAAATTAAATTTATTATATTTTGGTTTATTTATTTCCTTACCGACAGTTCCCCTTTTTCCGAAAATAGAGCCGTTAAATGGTGGCTTCCTGTAGTTGGCTTCAGTTGAATGAATAAGATATAAGACCATAGCGATTAGGAAAAGGGCGAATATAGCACGCATGTTGATCTTGTCAAAACTGTGAACAAATAGTTTTAAATAATATATTTTCAACGTATAGCTATAACGCCTTTAGCATTATATTAGCAAAGTGTGTGATTAACAATATGCCATGACATTGAGATCTTTTACAAATTACACTTAGGTCCTAGTAAGTTGTTAATTTCTGCTGTAACTGTAACTGCATAAAAAAAGAATATACAGAAATCGCTACAGTACGTACCTTTTTTATTGACCGAATGAAGCTTCAAAAGCTGTTGTAGGACTGATGCCATAAACATGCTTACATCCCCTTTTATATACGGAGTTAAATTGCATTTTATCCTCAGGGTATTAAGCTTGAAAATAAATGATTGGCTACTAACTAGATTACTGCTCTGTACACGAAGATCTATTGGAATTTGTGTTGTGATTAATAATCTTACTGTAATGATTTTATGTCTGAGAAAAATAGCTCTGAATTTCTCTAGACATTTATAAATTAATATTTATAGAAGAAGATACATCCAAGTGCTGCAGTCACTGTATGAAAACGCCACCATGACAGTTCGGCTCCAGGATCAAAACTCGAAAGCAATACGACTTCAGCGTGGAGTGAGACAGGGCGACGTTATATCGCCGAAACTGTTCACTGCCGCACTGGAGGACGTGTTTAAGCTTTTGGACTGGAGAGGACTTGGCATCAATATAAACGGCGAGTACATGACGCACCTTCGTTTCGCTGATGATATCGTAGTCATGGCTGAGACCATGGAAGATCTAGGCACAATGCTCGAAGACCTCTGTAGAGTTTCCCAGCAAGTGGGTCTTAAAATGAACATGGAGAAGACAAAAATAATGTCAAACTCCCATGTCGTACCCACTCCAGTGAATGTTGGAGGCTCTACACTGGAAGTTGTCGACGAGTACGTTTACCTGGGACAAATAGTCCGATTAGGTAAGTCCAACTTCCAGAGAGAGGTAAATCGACGGATCCAACTCGGCTGGGCAGCGTTCGGGAAGCTACGCAGTGTATTCTCGGAACAGTTACCGCAGTGTCTCAAGACGAAAGTCTTTAATTCGTGCGTGTTGCCAGTGATGACATACGGTACTGAGACGTGGCCGCTTACGATGGGCCTCATAAGGAAGCTCAAAGTCGCCCAGAGGGCAATGGAAAGGGCTATGCTCGGGGTTTCTTTGCGAGATCGAATTAGAAATGATGAGATCCGCAGAAGAACGAAAGTCACCGACATAGCCCAAAGAATTGCGAACCTCAAGTGGCAGTGGGCAGGGCACATCGCTCGCAGGACTGACGGCCGTTGGGGCGGTAAGGTCCTGGAGTGGCGACCGCGAACCGGGAGACGCAGTGTTGGTAGGCCCCCCACAAGGTGGACCGACGATCTGGTAAAGGTCGCGGGAAGCCGCTGGATGCGGGAGGCGCAGGACCGATCGATTTGGAAATCTTTGGGGGAGGCCTATGCCCAGCAGTGGGCGTCTCTCGGCTGAAGTGATGATGATGATGATTGAAGCTTTTGAATAATACACTCAAAACTCATGCAAATAAAATTACTAACAACTACAACTACATATTTTCATTACAAAGTATTTAGGAAACGTAGATAGAATGCGTGTTTTCTGTCTGTAAAATGGGTCATCAACCAATGGCCCAAGAGTTGTTAAAATCTCAGATTAGATATTATGCATCGATATTGATAGCGAATCAGACATGTATCAGTAAAATGGCTCTGTTATGTCACAGTGTACTGTGGTTATGTGTTAAACTGGTTAATATCAGCCATGTACGTTGGGAGGGCGATTTCTGTTCCTTACTTTCATTGGTGTTTGTTTGATATTATAATTATTATGAGCTCGATGGCGCAGTGATAACCACATTCGGTCTGTAATGTGGAAGTTAAGCAACTTCAACAAACGCTGGTCATAAGGGGAGTGGGCAAAATTTCAATATTTCAAGTTTCTTCGTGCTTCGGAAGCACCTACCAAAGAGAATTTAAACACTACGTTTTAACTCCTACTACATCAGTAGTAGTCAACATCCACTAATACGCACTTGGCCTGTGCGATGGGTTCTCCCTGTTCGTTTCGATTTGTTTCCATCCATAAGGAAGGCCTGTGCGCCACCAGAATGACATTAATACGCTGATGAAAAGATGATGATGATTTACCAGCTAAACTTGATATATATCCAAAGTTAATACTTTCAATATTGATAATCTTATGCACTAACAAAGTTATAATCCCTAAGGGTTCGGCCCATATCTGCTCAATATGCGGTCAGTATCCAATAATCCAATAAGTGGACCCAGACGCGCCATATTGAAGTTACCCTGGTATAAATTGGCGGGAAAATCTTGAACCAACATCAGTTGACAGCTCGCCTTTACGAGGGATACCAACAGGAAATCTCAAATATAACAAAGGTTAGTTAGTGTTTTTATGATTTTAGTTCATATTAGATTAAAAATAAAGTATTAGCATACATTAGAACAATATTAAAAATAAATAATGTGGAATGCAGTACAGTGGAATGTTTTTGTGAAGTTTGACTTTCTGATTTTCGATCCATTCTATTGCATATTCATAATTTTATCACCGGTCCAGCAAAAAAAAAAGAATCAAATATAATGTATTAAGTTTTGTAGGATTCATAATCATCGAAAGCATAAGGTATTACATATAATAGGGAGTCGTATCTTATTTAAATAATGTCAAATTTTTGCTATTTTGTATTGTGAACTGCAAATTAAAACAATATTAAACGGGCAGGATTTAATTTAGGGGTATTAATATAGAAGTTGAAATTATTTTAAAGTTTATTTAATTTATTTATCAAGATTTTTAACTTTTTTCCTTCCATTAGATGGCCGGAGATTTGTTGCGACTAACTATCACAGTGCTTTGCGTAAGTCTTGTGCTTCTATCTCTGGTGCAAGTTGGAGAAGCGAATTACAAGAATGCACCCATGAATGGCATTATGTTTGGCAAGAGGGGACCTTCTGGTGAGTTTATAAACCAAACCAACCAAAATTACTGTTAATGGTGTACCTAGTAACTATAATTTAAAAGATTATATTTTAGAGATGTGGGGACGCACCTATTCTTAGTACAATTTATTGTATCTAAATAAAAAAATACATAACTGACGATGTCATGATTTACCATTAACTACTCATTAGCTAATTGCACATCGACCATTAAAATTGTCATTAGTTTAAAGCGACGTCACTGATACCAATTTGACATTCATTAGAGTTTAAAGGCGTCATTAAACCTCAATGGACATTTGTGCAACTGACCTATTAAATTAACTAATCACAATTTAAATATTTTTTTTTTATGAATATATATACTTATATTTTTTTACGGTAGAGGTTGGCCGGGAGTCAAGAACATTATAATTTCTTATTTTAACTCAAATTAGAATTATTTAGTAAATAATAAAATGATGAATGATTGCCAAATCCATATTTATTGCTATCATATACCTTATATTTTTTGATTCCTATATTTCGGCGCTGTTGCAAGCACTAATTAGTAACAAAAGTTAATTATGTGTTATTAAAAACTGTAATATTTTTTTCAGATTATGATTCACGAGGCAAAACTTTTACTGCCCTTTGTGAAATTGCTACAGAAGCTTGCCAAACCTGGTTTCCTTCCCAAGAAAATAAGTGAACTAATTTCATTATTGTAGGTATTCATACGACAATTATAGCATGTACGCCATTCGGAGGAAACGATTGCATATGTATTTTAATATTTCTCAATTGTATTTTAAAATTATTAAAGCTTCCTCGAAGCTAATGAGAGCATCAAAGGCTGGAATGTAAAAAAAAAACATGAAATAAAAAATATTACAGCGCATTTATTTTTACTCTATCCACACCACGAATATACCTCCTCGAAAACGTTATTCATTATTTTAATACGCACGCAACACAAGTTTGACCTACTTACGCAATATTTTAATATGGCAACACTTGTGGGAAAATGATAAGCACTTTCCCTGCTCGCTTTCCGTATATATTCATTGTATTGCATAGTATGTCTAGTTTTTATGATCTAATAAGACTCTAATGAGAATTTCTATTTCTATTAAAAACTGGGAAAAAGTTCTATAGACGGAAAATTATCGAGTTTGTATTGCAATATAGTAGCGCGAATGGAATGGAACAGCTCACAGCTGATAACACTGTACCAAAATGTCAATAACAGTCAATGACGTTTCCTTGTCGAAAATTATTGTTTTATCTACCTTCTTTCTAAAATGAATTTAATAATTTTGGAACTCGTGGTGAAATAATTTAATGTAACAGTTTATTCGAAAATACAATTATAAAACGACTTAATAAAAAATGACTACGAAAGAACTTTACACGAAGGTAGGTAATTTTTAATCTTTTATGTTTTGATTGTGTTTTGTTTTGAACCTCTAATTCTACGATTAATTTTGGAATACAAAACACATTAAATTTTCTTTATACCTGTTTATTATAGTTACCAATAAATCACTCATGAAAATTTGTAATACTTTTACTATCTATATCTTACAATCATAATATGTTTGATGTGGTTGGATGCTCCTGAATTATTAACATAAATTATACGGTAGTTGGTTACTTGATTGCGGTATAAACGTTAAAACAAATTTGTCAGTTTTACACTTGCATGATTTAAGCTTGTTAATCATCTGTATTTTTTATTATATGGGTTAACCTTTTTACAAGAGTTCTATATACTCAAAATACATTTTGCTTTGAAGAACACCAACCTCCTTTAATGAGTTCTTAAATATGATACAATTGGAGCAGTATAAATTATGTGATTCTATACATGATTATAGGTTAATCAAGACTTGGTTTATTTCTTTCATTTGATAAGTCATTTGTCTTATGAGAGTTTGCAGACCTTTTAAACATTTGTTTTGATTTTTTAATAAAATAAATATTGTACATATATTGCTCAGATTCCAAGATAAGTAGCTAAAGCCCTTGTATGAGGGAGTATCTAAAATTATGAAATTATATTCCACTGTCATTTTATACACTGACACCAGAAATCAAACCTAGGACCATGGTAAAAACTGCTTCAGCATGAAAGCTACCAAGCTACAGAGGCCGGCAGACAATTGAATTGTTAATGCAAAACTTTAGATTATAAACTTGCACGTATTAATAGGTGAGATATTATTTCTATTACCGTGAAACTATAATATCTAACAACATTCATACCCAGTCAGTATCTGCCTACCTACTGGCACCACCTGTACATAGATTCATGTATAGAAACAGCAATAAATCTTACATAATTATAACTCTTCACATGTTTCACCTCCCCAAAGAGCATTCTCAGGAGATGTTAAACTTTATTGAAGCAAATTCCCCTGTTGGTGTGGAACTTTTATTAATTGCAATGTGCTTTCATTAAAAATAGTACATATCTGCACATTTGAAACTCTATCATTCATATATATTACAGGGTGCCCGAATATGGGTGGAGCATCCAGAAAAAGTATGGGAGAGTGCTACGGTCACCTCGGACTACAGGTCCGGTGTCCTAATTGTGAAACTCGATCAGTCTGGAGATATACGACAAATAAAGGTTTACAACTTTTTACTAAATTAATATTTTGCCTCCATACATATATTTTTTTGGTGATTTTTTTATTTTCAGTTATAGGAGTATGTTATAAAATTGTTCAAATCATTTTAAAGATCATTAAACATTGTTTAAGTTTTTCATCATATAAAATAAATACAAATGGGATAAGGCTATGTATAAATACCAGATATCACATCTTCAGTCTACTTTTTCTACTGTTTAGGAACGGTCCATTGATGCCATTAAGAGTTTTCTCATGATTCTTATACTATTATTGTCATAAATTAACAATATTCACAGATAACAGATGAAAAGCAGATGCCACCCCTGAGAAATCCATCTTTACTCATTGGTCAAAATGATCTCACTTCACTGTCTTACTTGCATGAGCCCGCTGTGCTACATAACCTTAAAGTCAGGTAAGATTTTTCATTATTTGTGTCAGGATGTGTTACTTCTGAAAGACAAACCGGAAATCTTATTAGGAAAAATTATCAGCTGTTTTAAACAAAATTCTGCACCCTAAGTTGTAATTTTATTTCAATAATTTTTCGAGGTTTTTTGAAACAGTCGCGCTTTCGCACCACCAAATTTTGTTTTTTATTCTTTTATATAAATATGTGTAAAAAAAATCTCAAACCTTTTCGCTGTAAAGGGGAGGCAGAGCACTGCTTGCTCCTGGGCACCTGTTGTGCTTAAGACGGGCCCGTCTTGACAGCTGATTATTATTTCATTAGTAAATACTGTAATAGTTGTTAAGTTAGTAGTCAAAGGTTTCAATACTCAACCTAAAAATGTTTGATTATTTTTCCTTGTGTTGTTGAACTGAATCTATGACTGTTCTTGGGCAAACCCAGGACCCAGCATTTACTTGGGGCCTAGACTTATCAATAAATGCATAATATACCATAACATTTTTCAAGTATTTGCTTTAATGGATAAAGATTTGTATTGAATCTTTTCAAATCATCTTGTTATTAGAGTTTATCATATTGAAAAATAGGAAAACGATTTTTATTCAACAGAAAAAACAAATCACGCACGCACGACACACAAACAAGATAAAGTTTTGAGATCTATTTAATGGTAACTGGAAATTTTTGAAATACAAGTTAATTATTAAAAAAGTTATGCAACTTTTATTTTGTCCCAAAACTTATGAACACAAGAGGTGTAATATGCATATTTTAATTTATAAAAGATATTGATACGTAATAGAAAACAGGATTTTTTTTAAGAAGTCAGGACGCAACCCTCTATGTCTTCACTGTTGACCAGTTTATTTGTATTGAAAATTTATTAATACGAGTCTCTTAGCAGCCTTAGCCCGATACGAACAATAATTGTTATAGCTTCTGAGTAAGTAATAATAAAATATAATATTTTACGAGCAATACGTCGTTAAAAGCTGCCTTTTTTTTCTTGAAATGGCTAGGAATGCTAGGGAGCACTTAGAGGTTTCTGTCCCGGTTTGAAAATTCATAGATCTACTTGTGTAAGAAACTACTTCAAAATCGCCCCAGACTATTGAAGTCAGCATAAATTTACTTTAATTAATTAATAAATGTAAGATACAAATACCTAACATATTAGATATTAGGCAACATGGTTGATATTTTTTTTTTTAACTGCCGCAAGAAGTTTCAAATTTGCCCCTAAAGTGCATATTTTAATTAATTAGAGTTTTTTAAATACCATTTTTTAATTTTTATAACTCCAAATGATTAATTTGCTTAGCTTAACATACACAATATTACAAATGTATGTAATAATTATATGATTATTCATTGAAAGATTTTATCACAGGATGTTGGTTGACGCACCTTAGGAACATGATTATACATTCATACGAGATATAACGCATATCAACATGAATATAGGTTTTTATGATTTGTTTTAGTCAAATGCTCAATTTCCTATATTTTTTTAATCGTAAATCGGTACCACGCAATTTACGCGACTGGAAACCAAACCCGGGATCAGACCTCTTGAAATGGCGACGCCTTAAATCCAGCACAACAATCGACGACGATGTTTTGCTAATAAATAAAAAAGATTAATATTGTAATATGGGAATCAGTATCAATGATAATTTTATGTAAAGTGATAGTGAAAGTACCATTATGTAATTAATAAACCTCCATGTTAGCGCTAAGAACCAAGCTCAGTGGCAAATGAAGCGTGTCCATTTAATCTCTTGAGGGTATTTCTTTTCACTAATTGATGTGGCCTTGTCCGTTCGATAGTTTAGGCCGGTTATGTGATGCTTTATTAATTAACTATTTTACGCTATGTATCTATATAGTCGTATCATAAAGAGGTAGTTTCTCACTTTGTCTATAATTTACCGAAATATTAACATTATTACATTATACAGGAGTGAAAAAGGCTACAATTTAGGCTGGCGTAATAGCAGGAAAATTTGCTAGTTGATAATTTAGCTGTATACGATTATCATTAAATATTGTGTTAATTAATTTTTTAAGGATATTTATAAATACCAATTAATAATGATAACAATGTATGAAATGGCTATACGCAAAATTCACAGTTAAAAATCGTACAAATTATGACAGAATTATTCATCTTTCGCAACATGATCATCATCATCGGCTTATTAATGTTTATATTGTTAGGGGAACAGAGTCTCCCGTTGACCGGAACGGTTCAGTGTGATTGTTGATCGATGACTGTAGAATCTGCAGTTTTTATCATCCATAAATTCCTATTACTTCAATCCGCAGGGATGACCTGTGTGTAGTGCGGATGTACTCGTAATCAACGGCTTAACATGTCTTCCGGAGCTCTGAAGAGCTCCAAATATCGCAGACTTAGCGTGCTTACCATTACGTTATCGAGCTCCTCATTATTTTAACATACCAATTAAAATAATAAATATTCACATATCCGCGTACGCCCGTGCTTATGTATGCGTACACATATACGACATTACATATAAATTCAAAGAAACACCTAAAATTATCCAAGAGCATATAAGCCACCTTAAATAAAAAACTGTTAGAGATACATGATTGATTCTTTAATTAAAGGTTCTTTCTTTCCTTGTGTGTTATTGAACCTTATTGTTATAGTTTAATTTCATTATTCTTTTTAATTAAGTAGATCGGTGGCGTAGAGGAGAAGCACCGCGGCCCGCGATCGTTGTTGTTTAGCAACATTCGCAAGGGTCAGTCACGGGATGGGTGATCAAAAAATTATTATCTCGAGCCACTTCGTGCTTCGGAAGGCACGTTAAGCCGTTGGTCCCGGCTGCATTTGCAGTCTTTAATACCCTCCAATCCGCATTGGGCCAGCGTGGAGGGTCATGGCCCATCCTCCTTAACCGTCCATAAGGAAGGCCTGAGCCCCTGCAGTGGGGATGTAAAAGGGTTGATGATGATAATGATGATAAATTTAATTATTGCAGTATAATTAAAAAATATAACGAAAGACATTTTATCTTTAAGCTAATTGCAACTGTGTTTACTTGTTTAGATTCTGCGATCGTAACGCCATTTACACATATTGCGGGATTGTATTGGTCGCTATCAACCCCTACTATGATTTACCGATTTATGGTGAGTAACTACGATTATAAATATTATTCAGTTTTTTGCAGTGTAGTCTATTTATAATTGATATGATGAATAAATGTAGGTAGTAATTCATTATGTGCGGACAAATACTCGTGAATGCTAAACAAATAATTGTATTTGTTGCTATGCGAACAAAAACAAATTGTCTTTATACAGTCAATTTGTGTGGTTATCTCAAGTATGTTCTAGTCCAGGAAAAAGAGAACTAAAGTAGCCCAGGAAATAATAAGTTTTTCATAACTTAGGAATTTTTTGAAATTAAGATATAAGCTATAACCTCCTCGAAAGCGTTTTCTATTTGATATTGAGCGAAAATTCGGTAGGTCCTTCCTTCGAGTTCGGTCTTATATATTGTTAACGTCATGCTTGCACAAATGTGCATCAGAGGCAGTGTGATATCCTCCGTTGCATCATAAATAATCGAAAAATGCGGTTCTATGGAATCGTTTAAGCATTTCGAAGATAGATGAAATTTCGTTTTTATTGAAAAATATAATAGTCTTGTGTCATGTTAATTCGTACGAGTAGGGTGTTACTTTTTAAGTTCCGTATTCGCAGGCGATGAGACCATTATGGCATACCGAGGGCAATCTATGGGTGACCTTGACCCTCACATATTCGCGGTAGCAGAGGAGGCGTATACAAAATTAGAAAGAGAGAGGAGAGATCAAAGTATTATTGGTAAGTGCATTAAAACATTGTGTTGTAATCATGTTTTTTTATTTGAAATTTATTGATATATATATATATATATTTTATTAGTGAGTGGAGAGTCGGGAGCGGGTAAAACAGTATCAGCCAAGTATGCTATGAGATATTTCGCTGCCGTCGGTGGTAACGCGAGCGAAACACAAGTAGAGAAAAAAGTGCTCGCCTCCAGTCCAATTATGGAGGTATGTTAATGTATTTTAATAATAAAGCAAACCTGTTAGTTTTCCATGATAAGGAATAGCTCATTGCTGGTTATGGTTGATTTTGACGGTGCACGTAACAAATACATTAAGGTTTGATGCACTCACGTACGCTCGCACACGCATGCGCCTCATCCATACTTTTCTAAACATCACTTTATGAATACTGCTTAACAATAATCTTTTGCCCAATATTGACATTCGTTAAAAGACAAATCTTGGTCCGCCATTTGATCCAAAACTACTGGAGCGATGTAGTTAACAAAAAACGATCTCGTAATGTAAATAAATGAATTTGAAGCTTGACGACCTCTTTTAGAGGGTAAACTAGAAGTATAAACGGATAGCACTATATGTTTTTTCCGTTGATTGTGTTCAATTGTGTAATTTAAAATAAATATCTATTCCATTTTATCCTCAGCTAATTTATATATTCGTTTTAGGCGATAGGTAACGCTAAAACAACAAGAAACGACAACTCGTCACGTTTCGGAAAATTCATTGAGATCCACTTCGACAACTCTTACCGGATATCCGGGGCTAGCATGCGGACTTATCTCCTTGAGAAATCACGTGTAGTTTACCAGAGCGCGGGCGAGAGAAATTATCACATATTCTACCAGCTGTGCGCTGCCGGGGTTCATATGCCGGAATTAAGGCTTGGTGAGTTGTGCTCGGATATCCTATTATTACCCGGATGAGTTCATATACATATTTAATAGAAAATAGGGTTTTGAGTAAAAGCAAAATTAAAAAAAAATAAGGTAAAACATTACAAGAAACATTTTTTATTTTCAGATCACCAAGATTCTTTTCACTACTTAAATCAAGGCGGCAGTCCGAATATAGACGGTGTCGATGATCTCAGAGCATTTAACGAAACCAGGAATGCATTAACCACACTAGGTAACTGACATATATATCTTAATGTCTGGTAACCATATTTATATTGTCTGAAGACGAAAGTCTTCGGCAATGTGTGTGTTCCAATGATGGCTTATGGAAGCGGAACGTTGTCTTTCACTATGGGGGAGACCTATGCCCAGTAATGGTCGTCGTAACGCTGATCTACTAACCCTGAAGTACATTATCATCATCAGAGTAGAATAGTGTTTTAATTTCATGATTCAATTATCTCGGAAGATCAAGAATAGAAATTTATTATAATCGAGTATTATTCGGCAGGTGTGACAGAGACAGAACAACAGAACATGTTCACGATCCTGGCAGCCATATTGCATTTAGGGAACGTGGATTTTCATGAAAGTGATCCCGATGTTAGCCCAGGACAAGATGCACCTGAAGAAGGAGCTTATATCAGTGTAAGTGTTTCTTAACCAGGGAATCTTTCTCGTTGTAGAATTTAGTAAACCAATAGGTTATTTTGTTAAATATAGATATTGTATACATTTCGTTGTATATTGGCGATTTTTCTAACCTCCAGGTCAGAGATGGGCAAAATGTAATCATGATGAACGATTATATTTAGATTTACGCATTGTTATCGTTTTTTTTAATTATTTATTTATTCATTACACATGAGTCTTAAATTTATCAAAATTTACGATTATTATGTTGTAATCTTCAATACAGAATAAACTTTAAAAATGTAATCCTTGATAATAATTAAATTTTGCCCATTTCTACTCCAGAGGTATAAGTGATTAATAGATTAGACTCTTGAGAACAATAGGGATGATGACTAATTTTTGTTTGTTTGTCCGTCAGGTAGAGTGTTAAAAAATATTAAACAAGTATTTTTTTATTTTTTTCGTAATCATAAAATTACGGCGTTACATTGAGTTGAAATTTCGCATGACGTCACGTTAGAGTACGTTTTCTACTCAACTGTGACGTAGCGAGCTCCCACTCCTCAACTTTAATGCCTGTTATCTATACTATTTCTTGTTAAATTGAAGTAAAAAATAATACGTATCTAATATTTTTCTATTATCTGACTGACGGACTAAATAGAATTGCATTTTTTTTACCCAGTCATCATCCCCATTTTCACCTATATAGGTATAAAAAAAAAATTAAAATACCTTAATTTCATTTAACAGTCCAGCGACAAACACCTATCTATAGTTTGCTCGTTACTCGGGTTATCGAAAGCGGAGCTATTAAGATGGCTGACACACAGACGTATAGCATCAGCCCACGAAGTTATTGTGTCCAGAATGGATATGCAGAGAGCTGTGTTCGCAAGAGACGCGCTAGCGAAGAGGCTGTATGGAGAACTGTTCGCGTGGTTGGTGCAAGCGGTTAATAGGGCATTGGACACTGGACACGCCAAAAAGCACTTTATTGGTAAGTATATAAGCATGGGCGCGCCAAAAAGCACTTTATCGGTAAGTATTGTTGGTGTTAAACCTTCTTGGTTTTTGAGTGTGAACATTCTGGTATTGTGTTTGTCTGTCATACACTTAAATTTTTTATTTTTAATTATTGCGACATCTGTCGGATGATTTCCCAACTTGCAACCATTATGTGACTCTGTTGCTAAAATAAATAAATATAAATAAGTGTTACACCAAAAATATCGAACACCATGGAGAAATCCATAAATAACATTACATTATTTATACGCTCCAATAATAAAATTAACAAAGAATATGCATACTTTAAATTAAAAAAAAAAATATTATTTTGTTATTATTATAAAATTTTATAATTAAAATATCAGCCTCGTTTTTAAAAGACAAAATGAATGAAAACCATATAAGTATAACTCTAATATTATAGAAGTCTCTAGTGGGATTAAAGATTTTTTATTATTTTGTTATTTTATAAATCCAAAATGAAAGTACATTGCCATTATATTTCATCAGGCGTCCTTGACATCTACGGGTTCGAAACATTTGAAATTAACTCGTTCGAGCAGTTCTGCATCAACTACGCCAACGAGAAGCTGCAGCAGCAGTTCAACTCGCACGTATTCAAGTTAGAACAGGATGAATATATTAAGGTTAGTTTTCTCACAATAGGGGTGACTTCTAATTATTGTTTGTTTGACCGTCAGGTAGATTGTTGAAAAAAAATTAACACGTATTTTTTTCGTCATCATTTAATTTCGGCGATACATTGAGTGAAAATGTCAGATGACTTCACGCTTCGGTATATTTTCTACAAAACTGTGACGTAGCGAGCCCCCACTTCCCAACTTTAATGCCTATTATCTAAGCTATTACTTGTTAAATTGAAGTAAAAAAAAATACGTATCCAATATTTTTTTCTATTATCCGACTTACGGTCGTCATCCCTATTGTGACTTGATGCATATAAAAATTGTGAAACGAATACGGGTGTAGACAGTAAACGAAAATAAATACATTTTTTTCTGGTAGTGTTTGATACATTATTATTACCGATACTGACACAGATTGCTCAAATTAATTATGAAAAAAAAAATCTATGCTCGTTGTGACGTGACCGCGAATAGCGCGTGACGTCACGACCCTCTTACTCGTATCAGCCGTGCGATTTTGTAAAAACACAGACCCAAATTCGAATTCAAGTCATTTAGTGTAGAAAATCTATTGATTCCATTTTTTGTATAAAAATACAAAACTAAATTGATTGTTTCTCAGATATTCTACTTCTATCTCATTTTCAAACTCACTTCACATATGCCACAAAACGCTATTGCCAATTCAAAGTTGAGCGGAAAAACGAATTCGACATATAAATTATTCCATTTGTAATAGCTTCTAAGTGCGTCGCCACTAGTGTGATAGACCACCTGAATAAAAAGTTGTTCGAACTATATCTATTAATGTACTACTCAAATGATAAATGCATCATTCAAACTCATACAAATTACACTACAATCAAATTAATATGGCGTGTTTACGGCAATTCATCCTCAGATGATGACCAAATTTATGATTAATATTTACAATCAACCTTATTTTAAAAAGCATAAGATGTAAAATATTGGGTTGGCACAAAAGTAATGAGACACACTAGATAACATTTCCTATAACATTTCCTTTTTAAAATCAATTTTTTCGATAATATTCTAGAATGTTGTAGATCATTTTAGGTACTTCTGGTGTAGGGTATATAAAGCCGCGCTCGCGATTTGTTTAGTCAGTTTGAAGAAAAATGGACGAGCGACAAGTTCGAACACTATACTTATACGAGTACTTGTTAGGCCACAGTGCGCGGGCTGCGGCTGACAATATCAACAATGCATTAGGCGCTGGAAGTAGAAGCCATGCGACGGTGTCCCGATGGTTTGACCGTTTTAAATCAGGAGACAGGAGCCTTGAAAGTCAGCCACGCTCAGGGCGACCACCCGCAGTGAATGATGACGATTTGCGCCGCGAACTGCAGTTGAATCCGGATGCTACCACTCGTGAATTAGCGGAAGCACTTAAATGCAGTCACCACGCCGTGGAACACCATCTACATGAGCTTGGTTATCGAAAAGTTTTAGCTCGGTGGGTACTGCACATCCTTACAGACGCCAGTCGTGCAGTCCGTGTCGCTATCTGTCAGTCACTTTTGCTGCGACCCCGACGTAAAGAGTTTTTGTCAGATCTGGTTACTGGAGATGAATAATGGATTTATTACGAGAACGATACACGTCGTGCTTTTTGGCTGCCTCGAGAAGAAACGCCACCAACTCAACCGAAGCCGAGTCAAAAGAACCGCCGAAAAATTCTGCTTTGCTGTTTCTGGGATGCGCAAGGCATACTGTTTTATGAGCTATTACACAATGAAACTATAAACGCTGACAAATATTCAACCCAACATTGTTCTGGGCAAAAGGCATCCAAACTTTGCCGGATCGTTGGCAAGAAGTCTTAGATACTTATGGTAATTACATCATTGACTAAACTTTTTTTATTGTAATAATAATAAAAAAGTAAAAACTTAAACCAAGTGACTCATTACTTTTGTGCCAACCCGATACATACAACTTAGTAGGTTAAGATTTGAAGTCCCGTAGCTACTTCGGCAAGCTATATTAGTTTTTTTAATTAGACGTGTTTTTTTTTTATATATATCGCACCCATGTTTGTAAAACCTATTAACTGTATTTTTTTTTTTACAAAAAAATGTTAATATATCATTAAATAGAAAATTTCAAGCTGCATCTACTGGTAAAACCCATTTCGTTTTTGTAAAAATTGTTATTTAATAAGTTTTACCAGCGCGGGTGCGATATACACAAGTATACCTTAGAAAGCTCACGTGCTAAATTTTATTACCAACAGGAGGAAATCTCATGGAAAATGATAGATTTCTACGACAACCAGCCGTGCATAGATTTGATAGAGGACCGTTTAGGTGTCCTCGCTCTACTAGACGAGGAGTGTAGAGTCCCACAGGGTTCCGATCATGGATTCGTTGCGAAATTACATGACAAATGCGCAAAATATCCACACTTTATGAAGCCACGCTTTGGGAATGCTGGTGAGTTATAATAGACAAAGTCAAAATTTGTTCTGGTCTCAAACTAAGTAGCTGATGCCCCTTTTTATAGAAATCTGAAAACTGCTTACAAACTCTCAAAATGAAGCCCTAATTAATCTGTCGGTACCCGACATATCAAATATATTGGAAAGCTTCATTTCGCCAACCTAGAGTGTTAGATTTTATTATATATTTTGTCCGCTGTTGGAGTACAGGATTTCTCTATGAATAACTATGAAAATGGGCCTAATGTGGATTGATGGATGTTAAAAATTGGAGATGAAATTGAGATCAAGCTCCTGAAGCTCGAGATAATTAATTTTCGATGACAAGCGATAGTTGTATTTTTTAATGTTTTAATTTATAATGATCCTTATAGCCTTCATAATAAAACACTTCGCCGACAACGTGGAGTACCAATGCGGTGGTTTCCTAGAGAAGAACCGAGACACAGTGTCAGAGGAGCAATTAGAGTGTATTCGATCAGCGACGTGTTGCCGTCTCATTCACACTATGCTTCAACCGGATAGAGCGATAGAGCAAACGTCCACGTTGCCGCCTCCGTCCCGAAGAAGAACTACTCCGTCCGTGCCGGTAGCGAGTTTGACGGTGAGTTTAAGTTTAAAAAAGATATTGATATTGTTGGTTTTTAATATCCTTGTTATTTAATAGGGTTATTGACAGTGATCAATAAAAAATGTGAGACTTATATTAAATCATAGATATTCAGTATTTATTATTTCTGATTTAGTAATACGTATATTTTAGCAAAACAAAACATTATATTTGAGCTCGTGACTTTAAACAAAATTTGTCAACTGTTATTGTTATTCACAAAACTCGTGAGTAGACTTACGATGAGTGAGTAGAATTTAGTGATGTGCCGGATCATTAAAAATGTATATCCGCGGATACGGATCCGAATACGGATATTTGGTGTCAAGATCCGCGGATACGGATACGGATCTTTATAAATAATATATTTTTCAAGTTCCTCTAATTTTCACTGTGTTTGCTCGTGTAATGTAATGTTTACACTTTAATATGGTAGGTAGTACCTACTAGGTACGCAGTATTAATTTACTTTCTAAGAATTTATTTTTGGTTTTCTCATCATTTCATTTTTATAAAAGTGATCTTATAACTTTCTTTTATATTGATCTCATTATAATTATTTCAGTTGTGGTTTTCTCATTTTCTTATATTTATAAAATTAATGTTATAACTTTCAATAATATTGATCTTATTATAAAGATAGTCGATTAGTCACCTTTGAGCTATGTACTATTGGTATAGTAACTTACTACGATAAATGTTTGCAATATAAAGGTGCCAAATATTTTATTTTAAGAAATAAAAAATACTTGAATTGAATTTAATAGTTTTTTAAATCTCCGTCATCACCTTTATATAGCATTTCATCCTATCCATTGAAAATTAATAAGTTAAAAGATCCGTAAAAGATCCGCGAGAAAAGTAACGGATACGGATACAGATACGGATCTTTATTTACCGTCGGATATCCGCGGATGCGGATACGGATACTGATATCCGGAACATCACTGGTAGAATCATTGCAATTATACAATTTTAATAATATTTAATTGTGAACTCCTTACAATCTAAAAAATTGTAGATTAGAATAATATAACGTGGTTATTAATAATCCCATTGATTGATGATTGTACAATAACTCAAAATCGATTAACAATTAATCTATTCTGTTTAAATATAATATAGATAAAAGTCTAAAACATGATTTAAATCATACGAACTAATATTTATAAAATATTTACACAGACATTATTCTAAACCTTAAAGCATGCCTGATAATTGAAATGATTTAATTTTAATATTAATAAAACTTTTAGTATAGAATAGAATAGAAAATTGTTTATTTACAGCACCAAATTACAGGTATATAACATTGATAATAGGAAAATTCAAAATTAGGTTCTAAAAAGGTCTCCGCTCAGCAATATGCCGCTGCGTTTAAGCTACGGCGCTGATTTTCAGCGGATACCTTAATTAAATAAATAAACAAACTAAAAAAATAAAATAAAATATGATAAGGAGGAGCACGTATAGCATCACATACAAGTACATGCAATTTACAAGACACATATATAAAGTAATTGTCCAGTTTATAAACTTACAAGATTTACAATAATATAATTAAGATTAAAAAAAAAAGTGTGAAGAATGACAAATCAATAATTACAATGATATAATAGTAATAATTAAATATTTATGATTATAAAATTAACAAAAATAATTCGCAAACACAGCATCAATATTAACATACACAGCTATTTTGATCTTCGAATATTCATTAGGTAATCCTTAAACTTGGTCTTAAACGTTAAACTACTTTTAGCATTTCTAATAGGGGGAGGGATATTGTTCCAACATTTTGTTGCAGAATAGCTAAAACTGCCACGGAAAGCAGCCGTGTTATATTTCGGACAAATCAAACGCAAAGCGGTTCTAATTGTGCGGTTAGAAAATTGAAGCCTATCATACAAATATGAAGGCATACCGAAAAGCAAGCTCGCAAAATGCAGTTTACGTCTTGACTCCACATTCATTAAGTTGTGTTTATTCAGAAATGGTGTAACATGCGACCTGCGCGGTATTGAGAAACAAAACCTAGCACATGCATTCTGAACTCTTTGTATTAGCTTCTTTGTACAATTCAGCAAGCATTCACCAGTAACACAATCAGCATAATTCAACTTTGATAGTATAAGAGATTCACAAAGACGAACTCTGGTATCCACACTGAGATGTCGACGAAAACCATACAAAACCTTTAGTCTATAATAACAATTACCAACCACTTCAGCCACGTGTCTTTCAAAACGTAGTTCTTCGTCTATCAATATACCCAGACTTCTTGCCTCTGCTACTCTCTCTATATTTACATTTCCTATTTTTAAACCCAGGTCTGAGTCATTCAAGTAGCTCATATGTGCCTTGGTAGCTATCACCAGAAATTTAGTCTTAGGTGGATTCAGAACTAGGCCATTTTTCTCTGACCTTGCTACGATTCGTTCAAGATCATTATTGATATCAAAAAGCATTTTCTTTAGTTCTTTCGGGTGAAAACTATTGTAAATTTGCAAATCATCGGCGTATAGGTGGTGTTTACTGTTTAAAATACAAGAAGGTAGGTCCGCGGTGTACAAAATAAAAAGAATAGGTCCCAAAATAGATCCTTGTGGTACCCCATGCTTAACAGAGGCAGACGAAGATAATCTCTTTGTACCATTATCACCAATAACCTCAACTCTCTGAGAGCGACCAGATAAATATGTTGAAAACCACTTAAGTGTTTGTTCATCAAAGCCATAATATTCCAACTTTGCAAGGAGTAGATTTATATTTAGGGTATCGAAAGCGCGCGAATAATCAAGTAAAACTAAAACAGAAGCCCTCCCTCCATCTCGTAACCTAAGTATATCGTCGAGGACATCCAGAAGAGCAGTAGTCGTGCCTCTACCAGCTCTAAAGCCTGACTGCTTCTGAGGTAAAACATTATTTTTATGTAAATATTCTGTCAACTGCTGATATATTACCTTTTCTGTAATTTTAGATAAGTATGGTAGTATACTGATTGGGCGTAAATCTTTTAGCTCTGTGGGGTTATTTGTTTTAGGAAGCGGCTTCACGATGGCTTCCTTCCAAGCATCGGGGAAAATTCCCGTCCCAATAGATCGATTAACGATCGCTGTGATAACTTTAAGAGTAAACGGTAACGTTAATAATACCATATCATGAGAAATACCATCCGATCCCCGAGCATTGGAAGTTATATTAGTAATAATTTTTCCTACCACCGTTTCATCGACTGGTTTTAAACTAAATGAAGCAGAACCAAATCGATTTTGCGAAAAATATGACATCATAGCCACCATTTGATGCCTCTACGAGGCTCATGTTAAGGTTATATAGTATAGTTTTAAGACCTTTCGTTACTGTATCTGTATCTGCATAACAAAGTAGATTTTAATCTTTTTTGTATCGGAAACATATTTTTAGCATTGGTTTCTTCTTGTTATCAATTAAGTTTTATATCCTTTTTTTTTTGTATCAGCAACCTCCACGGCGGGCTTCGGGACAGAAGCAAACGGTGGGTTCACAGTTCCGCGCTTCGTTATTCGCACTGATGGGTACACTGTCTGCCACCACTCCGCATTACGTGCGATGTATAAAACCTAACGATACTAAAGAAGCGTTCCAGTTCCATCCGGCGAGAGCTGTTAACCAACTGAGGTGAGTACAAACTGTTCATAGTTATATTTTTGTTAATATTGTATTAACCTCTATTCTTGACATTGCTGCTATTTCTTCTGTTTTATTCTTAGCTTTCGTTTTATATTATACTTTATATAATTATATTTCATATTTCTTCCTCAACCCGTCCTTTCCTTTGCTGTCCTCAACATTCTGGATCCGGCTCGAAGGACGCACGCACACGCACGCAATATCACGTGGATTTCTATGTTCTCATAAGACGGTAGAGGAAACTGGTACCTCAGATGTCAGAGTGCTCATTGAATGAATCCTTGTAGCTTTGTGCAATAAAGAATTTATTATTATTATATTATTGATAGCTGAAGTAGTACCAGGGTCGGGTCCAAGACAACCAAAGAGTAAATTATTTGGAACAGAGAATAACTTTAAATATAAATCTAGGTCAAAAATTAATACAAAATCGACAATAAGTACATTTACATAAAGATATAAAAAGTATAATCCATGTACAAAAAGGATATTATTCAAAACACTCGTTGAACCCTTATGAGTTCATAAGGGTTAAACGAGTGTTTGGATTTAGAATGAATGCAAAGTATAATATTTTTCGCTGATATGAGCATAGCATCAAAATATTTTGGTGATATCTGATTGTCGTCTAAACTTAATTCGTTTCTCTCAGTTGTTTGTCAAACGACAGAGAGAAAATATTCTTTAACAGCATTTTAATTTAAATAGGTTAATAATGCAACATGTTTATTTCTAGAGCATGCGGTGTATTGGAGACTATAAGAATATCAGCAGCGGGCTTCCCGTCGCGATGGCTTTATCAAGACTTCTTCCACAGGTCAGTTTAATTTGCATGGATATATTTTAATTAATTTTCTTGCTGTTATATAGTATTGCGTTCTGTTGTTCCCAGATATCGCCTTCTCTGTCTCCATAAGGAGATCGACCGCGGCGACATCAAAGGCACGTGTAGACGGATTCTCGCAAAGCATTTAAAGGACCCCGATAAATATCAGTTCGGCAAAACTAAGATATTCTTTAGGGCTGGTCAGGTATGTGCATTTCATTTATGACTTAACAGAAACTTACAGATATTAATGTACATTCAACCGATTTCATTCTTAGGACAGTATTGAACCTTATATTTTTCTGTTCGGTGACATATTATGGACATTTTTATCGGGAATAAAATAAAATCATAATATTATTACTTACGGAAACGATAAAAAAAGTCTGACTTTCCACCGTAGCGAAAATATGGGCATATCTTCCGAATCGACCGCATTGTCCACCGAATTGTATTATTTCTTTTGAACTTCTTGGGGATTTGATTGACAGAGTTCTTTTGATTTGGCTACTTGACTAATTTGGGAAAAGTATTTTTGAACTTTCATAAGATAACATTAACCACTTCAAGTAATAACTTGCAAATAGCCGATGCTGATTAAACCAAGGATTCTATTGCGTTCATTTCAAGCCTTGACTAGTGTAATTTTTAATTATTTCAGGTGGCTTACTTAGAAAAAATTCGCGCCGACATACAACGTCTATACTGCGTTAGGGTTCAAAGTTGCGTGCGTCGATTCGTCGCTCGGCAGAAATATTTGCGTCTCACGAAAGCGCTCAGAGGACTTCAAGCGAGAGCGAGAGGATTTTTGGCCAGACGGTGAGTGAATTTCAACTTTATTTCAAGCGTTTAACGTTCTAATTTCTTCTACTCATAATGAATAATTTATCAATAATTTAAATAAAATGTAATGATGATACCGGTGGTCGGGTGGCTTTTAAGTCCGTTTCATTTAGTTGCCACTTTCATCACCGACCTATTATATCCCCGCCTCTAGGGCACAAGCCTTCCATATGGATTGAATCGAATGGAGAGAATGGATCATTACCCACTCGATCCCAGTTTTTGGATTGGTGGCTGTAAACAACTGAAGATGCAGCCGGGACCACCGGCTTAATGTGCCTTTCAAAGTTCGATATAATCAATTTTTGTCTATCCTATAACCGACCCATGGAAAAGTTACTTATTTTCCACGTCACACACACCTCAATATCATTTTTGATAAATTATCAAATGGAAGTATTATTTTTTCAATTAGGAAAGCGCAAGAAGTACGTCGCAATCGTGCCGCTATCAAACTCCAGAAGAATATACGCGGTTGGTTAGCTCGCGTCAAGTATCAGCGATTGCGTAAACTCGCTATTGGAATACAAGCCGTTGGTAGAGGATACTTGGCCAGAAGGCTATATCGGGATAGAAGGAGGATTAAAGCGGTAAGTTTATTGTTAATATAATATTTAATAATATTGTTAATCACCACAGTAGTCGTAATTTATAATGAGATGGAGAATGAGATAAAAAAGAGTGAGTAGAAGAGACAAAGAGGGAAAGGATGGATATGGGCAGTAGTAAGAATAAATTGCGGCTGAATATAGGCTCTGTTTCCATGTACGTAGTTTTGTCAAATTGTTTTTTTTTAGCTGGTTCCCCCACTCTTTAGCAGGTTGTCTTTTCTTTCTTTTTTTTTGTTTTTTTTTTTCTCTTAAACTTTATAACGTTCTTGGTATTGATTGATTGAATCATTGATGTATAATAGGTACTTTTACATAAAAAAATGATATAAAGTACGTAGCAGAGGGACGTTAAAGAATATATCCGAGAGAGTAGATATTTCTTAGGTTGAGACTGAGAAATAAAAACGAAACGAAACATAAAAGAGAAGGATGAAATAAAACTGAAAAATGTAAGATGAGGAAACGGTAGTAGTAGAGAAATGTTTGGAATTGAAAAAAGCAATGTTTATGATGCTACATCAGGGGTATATTATTAAAGTATATTAGATTTGAGAGAAGATACGACATCTTAGGGATATTTCTTTTTATTCTACTACTTTAATAACTACGAACAAATGATAAAGAACGATGATATTGGCTTTAACAACAGTTGTTACCAACTTTTATCTTCCAAATAAATAATAAAAAGCATATATAGATATATATAGTTACGCGGCCGCACCCCAGGTTACCACAATATGTAAAATTACTTTGATCTCTACCTTTAACGTATTATGGTTTAAAATCTATTCTAGAATTTTAACAGTTTTGTGTATCATTTGTGCTATTGACTGTACTATGAACTGTGTGTACTATAGCAGATTTTAACACCACCTATTTTGGTTGCAGCTTATTGAAATACAGAGATTTGCTCGCGGCTATATCGCTCGACAGAAAGCAAAGCAGATAAGACGACAGATCGTCATAGCACAGGCGGCTGTGAGTATCACAACTTTGTACCACGTTGGTAAAAGTGGTCAAGCGACATTTTAACTCAATGTACCGCCGTAATTTATTGATTTCGCAAAAAATACATGTTTAATATTCTTCAGTAATCTACCTGATCGACTAATAAACAAAAATAAGTAATTATCCCTACTAATAAGATCTTAATATGTTAAGTTATTACAGGTTGTTTATCTAAGAGTATATTACACAACCAGCAGATGGTGGTCGATTATTATGCTATCGGATAATATTGTTATTTTTGTGTACTCGTACTGTGTCACAATTTATGTCCAGAACAGACAGTAAAGATAATTACTACAAATCATGAAGTCGGTTAAAAAGGGTTCACGATATTTTTCTTAATGTTGACATAATAAAAAAAATATATAATAGAGAGTTTTAACTACCAATAAAACTTACCTATTATTTTTCCTAAAGATATCCGGAATCCATCTTGAGTCAAGCATCATCCTTTTTGTGACGTTTCCGGTCAAAACACTACCTCCCCTCTTACTTCCGGCGCCTGTGCTGCCATCTAGTTTGCGGGTAGCGAACCAATGACTTTTAGGCACGAACGCTTACCGTCATTATACCTACTCTAGATGCACCAGGTAGAACTTACCTGGATTCCGGATATCTTTAGGAAAAATAATAGGTAAGTTTTATTGGTAGTTAAAACTCTCTATTATTTGTTCCGTTCGATATCCGGAATCCATCTTGAGTGATGTGTTTGTTATCTCCTGGTGAGTGCCATTGGTGACGCTATAATGTGTTGCAGGTATAAAAAGTCAAATGTAGTCTGATGAGAAAAAATAATGCATATTATAAGTATATTATGCTATTACATTCATAGTACATATATTATGCTGTTATATAACAATGCAATTATAATAATTATTCAAGAGTTTCGGTAATCTAAGCTAAATAAATATTGGCTTATCTGTTTCCGTCAATATCATTAATGAATTGAATGGAATAATAAAAATGTAAATACATGGATATCGGAATTTTCTTGATTGTCCGATTTATCAGTTTTCGATAGGACTTCCTAAAAGTATGTTCTTGGCGCCAGTTTACAGTTTCAGTAATTTATCCATCGGAAACAGTTCCAGTCAATTTAGAGATGGAACTGCAGATGTAATAGACCCTGAAGAATCTTCTACATTATGTGCTTCTATCTAGCATTTTTGAGAACAGAGTAGTTAACTCGTGAAAATTACTTCTTTTTGGGGCTCTTTCAATACAAAAATTGATCGCGTGTCCAATACATGCAATCGAATGATTTGTGTCAGTTTATCATTTCTGTCCTGGCTGTCATAATTACTATTATCTGTTTTTAATACAAAATAAGGCCATAAGACAAAAAATCATTTTCGTCTCTATACTTCAAAGGTTAAAAGGGTTAAATAATGGATTCTGCGATCTTGAAGATTGTGAAATTATGCTAAATTTCCAGCAACTTAAATAGAGTCAATTCTGCCAATTTCTACGTAAAATTTCCAATGTACTATATACCTGAAGTCTAATATTATTTGTGCAATGTCTTCCTAACAATTCAATATCGACAGATATATTTATTATTTTATGATCTAGTAACAAGAATGTGTCATAAAGGGTTGTAGTCAAAGCGCTATTGACCCTCCACCATTACGCCGACATTAGCAGAATTTCCCTACCGGGCACTTGTTATTTGCAGAATTAATACTAGTAGATATTTATAGTCGCTTTACATTAACTCGATAGTTTCAAGATTTTCTTTATTTCATTTTATTCTGCCCGACTTTTAAATAAATTTTCTGAATTTCGGGGGATGAACACCTGTTGCCATACCTATTGCAGTATTTGCGGAAACAAATCGTCAGCCAAGACACTTTGTCCCATTTTGGAACAATCATAATGTACTTACTTGCCTTGACACTTACTGGAGTCGAGAAAGTATTTGCGGAATCATGTTTGAATAAGGCCAGCTTGCATTTGCACTGATGACGTCATGCGTTATGACCTATTAGCTTGCTCGTCCGTCACATCCATTGTCATGAACCTGGGAATGACGTGTGCTTTTGTCGATGGAATAAGTTCACATCTGGTGTACATTGGGCTGGTAGATTTAGTATTCAGGCTATGCATAATTTCTGAATCTGCCTTGTTCGTGTCATAATTACAATAATTTCCTAGATTTGGTCCCCCATCTTTGTTTATGTACGGGAATCTGTACAGTTCTCTTAGCATTTACATCTAGGCATTCCGTGAAATGAAGACTCGCGTGAGTAATTGCCTCGAGTTGAGCACTCAAACAGATTTCCTATGCACCTGTCCTCGGATGTTGAGCGATTTGCGTTGCATTTATTGGAAGGTACAACAGATACTTACCATTTTAAGTCATTCAGTACTGGGTCTGGTAATCCGAATAGGTAGTAATTTAAGCTGTGTTAGTATTGCAGTGTGCGACAGTGTTATCACCCTGTTCGAATCACAAACAAGGCAAAGTCGAGTCTCCCCATTAGGAACTGGGCCTGTCTGAGGGACCAACCGCCTTGTACAATCTGATGCTGAAGTGCCATGCGTAGCGTGAAGCGTTCGGTTCAAACAGGGACTTCACTAAATGTTCAGTACTGAATCTGGTAGTTTGATTCGGTGGTAATGGTGATCTTTGGGCAACTGTCGATGGTAGTATTGCCGTGTGCGACAGTGTAGTCACCCTCTTCTAATCACAAACGAGGCAAAGTCGAGTCTACTCATTAGGAACTGGGCCTGTCTGAGGAACTAACCCCTTGTACAATCTGATGCTGAAATGCCATGGGTAGCGTGAAGCGTTCGGTTCAAACAGTGACTTCGCTGAATGTTCTGTACTGAGTCTAGTAGTCTGATTCGGTGGTAATGGTGATCTTTGGGCAACTGTCGATGGTAGTATTGCAGTGTGCGACAGTGTAATCACCCTCTTCGAATCACAAACGAGGCAAAGTCGAGTCTCCCCATTAGGAACTGGGCCTGTCTGAGGGACTAACCGCCACGTGTAGTCGCCTCGTGCTGAAGTGCCATGCGTAGCGTAAGGCACTTCGGTTCCGACAGGGACTTACCCCTGACCTCCCCGGCACTTCCCGGCACCTCGTGACCGTGTTGGTCACGATGCACCAGGCAACGCCGAGGAAGCTCAGAACCAGCACACACTGCTCGAAGTTGAGAGACCACCCTAAGCGCTGCTATTGTGGTAGTGCAGTTGTTGTGTTGGTCTAGGCAGCAAAGTTTTTGAGTACTGATGGCAGTTCAAAGAGACACTTCAGTTGCATTAGGTAGGTTGTTGTATGCCAGTCTCAAGAACCTGTGAACCAGATGTTGTTCGGCGATACTCAAATGAAAATACTTTTGGCTCGGATATATTTTCGTAAACCATTCGTTTTGTATAAGAATGTTCGGTTTAAAAAAAATTATTGATCAGTCGAAAAGGTTTCATTTTGACAAATCAGTGTCTTTTTAAATGAAATTGTCGGGCTTTAACATTAGAAGAGGAAATGATACAAAACAGGGTGGTTTTTGTAATCTCTAGTATATTAATTTGAGCATTGCAAACGATATTTGAAGATGGCTTAAAATCCCAGCATAAAAATATAATTTTTATATCATCACATACCTACATAGTTTAGATATCAAATGATATATTTAAACACTTGTATTATTGAAATCTGAAACAACGAAGGTAACAACACCCAGACCAGAGACAATGTAGAAAAGCTCATTATCTGCATTAACATGACAGAGTGGAATGCGGGAGCTCAGAAATGGTGACACCTTGGAACTGGTGAGCCACTCGCCCAAGATCCGACATATGCAATCTGGAACATCCTGATTGTTCCATAAACTTACAGATCGCATTAGATAGCCCCCTCCAATGTGTCATGTAATGAATTGTATTTATTTCTAAAGTTTAATGAACTGGTTTCATTACCATTTAAATATTGGTGTACTTCTGGTAATCTACCTTGAATCAACTTGCAGTTGCAACCATTTTATGCACCCCCTTGTTTTATGGGTGCAATATACTATTATCAAAGAAGAACTTGTTCGTTCTTCCCATCAGCCAAAAGACGTCCTGAACGAGTGGTGGGGAAAAATGTTGGACGATTCAAAAGAGAAGTCTATTTGAATAAATATTATTTTGACTTTGACTTTGAACTCTGAATTTGGCAAAAATTTCTGTAAAGACACCTCAGAAAACTTCTCCACGGCTCTGAACACATCAGTGCGTCAGCCACTTAATATTTGGAAAATATAATCCTTGTTGAATGTTGATTAGATTTTATCAAAAAGCATTAAGGTCTTTAGCAATAGATCAATCTGCAATTTATTGTAAACTAGTTCTAAACTAATTGATTCATACTTTAATTCTGTTAAGGTATTTGTTAATGCTGTAGATTGTACCATTTCTATAAAATTTAACTATAATGACTTCTATTTTTGCAAATAAAGATCTTATCTTAAATCATCAATTGTTGTAGCAGAAACAAATCGCCTCAACTTATAGTTTAATTTGAGCATGTTTCATCTAATTTGGTTTCACCATAGACTGGGTCTTTAAAATCCTATTTGAACTTGTGTTGATTGTTTTACTATAGTAGGTACATAAAGAAAATTATCACCAGTTGTAACCGCTGCAAGTAGGAACTGTTCAGGACCGTGGGGTCGTAGGGAACGTGATGGTGGCTGTGGTTGCCATAATTGCGGTCCTGGTATGGATACTATGTGCTATTTTGTTATGGAAAAAGGCACAGGTGGATTTAGTTTTCCAGTTTTTATCATGCATTATCAAAAAATGTCACTGGTTGGGGTAACAAATCGAATGCAAATCACTTACAGTTTTTCTCGCCTCTGTACCTTACTTGCTCTCTCCGAGCTGGAATCCGACGACGCTGTTAGATGAGTTCGAAGACAATAAACACGCCTGCTTCAATGCTGTTTTCTTTGTTTATTTCACTGTCCCGTTGCTCCATCGCGAAGGGAGGTTAATTTTATTTTAATTTTAACACTAAACTATATAATAATTTGTGCACATTTTATGTAGGACCGATGTTTTCGCCACGAAAAACGACGCTATAATGACGGTAAGCGTTCGTGCCTAAAAGTCATTGGTTCGCTACCCGCAAACTAGATGGCAGCACAGGCGCCGGAAGTAAGAGGGGAGGTAGTGTTTTGACCGGAAACGTCACAAAAAGGATGATGCTTGACTCAAGATGGATTCCGGATATCGAACGGAACAAATAATAAAAGTATACAAAAACTATCAAAAAGGTTTTATAATGGTCGTCAGCAATAGACAGCTTCTCTAGTAGTATACCTAAAAGTTTTTGTTATCTGCTGAAGCAGATAAATACCTTCACATTATGTTATTAACTATTAAGTTATAAATTGAATAAAAAAATATTTTTGTAATAAAGTTAAAAGTAACAAATTACAGAAACTGGTAGAACAAACTTTGTTGTTTATCTAGAACTTCTAGGTTGATCGTGTTTGATAGATAACCCTGTATATATATATTTACAATATTGTATGTCTAGGTGCGTCGTTTCCTCGCTCGTCGCCAGTACAAACGTTTACGTATAGAAGCTCGCAGCCTCGATCACGTCAAATCACTCAACAAGGTAAATCTTTTGTATGTTATTTCACTAGCTTTCCGTCGGCGGCTTCGTCCTGTATTCCTGTATAATCCCGCGTAGTCCTGTATTATACATATAAACCTTCCTCTTTCATCACTACCTGTTGTTGAAAATCGTATTAAAATCCGTTGTGTGGTTTAAATGAACATCAGACATAGGGAAGCGACTTTCTTTTATTCTGACAAGAGGCAATAAAAATTTTACTTAGCGCTAAAATTAAAATTTTAATTAACTCATCATCATCAGCCTATTTATCTCCACATTACGGGGCATTTCCATTCCACACTATTCCATTCCATTCCATACTGGGTATTCAATTCCATTCCTATCCAAAGTTAGAGTACAATGTTTTCCTATGCATGCATTGCAATTGAATCAAACAGGTAGAACGGCCCGTAACTCACCACGCAAGCCCAGTGTGGATTGGTGGGTGTTAACGACTGCGAAAGACTTAACGAGGTGTGCCAGAGCCTGGAGGTACTCGAGTAAATTATAGGTCATCTATCCTATGATCGGTCTTTGCGAAATTTTGTTCTGCTCAGCCTTAGACCGAGCTTATTGTCGCCATCAAGCTCCTCAATTAATTTTACGCTCTAAATTAATTAGAAATTCTATCAACTTATACTTAATATAAATTTTGATGGTAAGTAGGTCTTATTATTATACAATGAGAATGTAATTCTCATTGGCACGCGATCGATTTGATGAAAGGTGTATCTTTAGTTGTTATGTTATAAATTATTGTGAAGGGTCTGGAGAACAAGATCATCAGCTTGCAACAGAAACTGGGCACAGCCCTCGAGCGGGCTAAAGGCATAGAACCATTGCAGCAACAGATCGTCGAACTCAGGTAGACCAGAGACAAATTATATTTTTGATTAGATGTGGCCGTGACTTGGTCTGCTTTGGAGAGTATACTTGGAGAATTCTTCCCTTCCTATGGATGGAATGGAATCGAATAGGATTAATGGGTCATAACCCACTACGCGGACCCAACACGGTTTGGTTAGTGATAACGACTGCAGACTCAGCCGGGACCAACGGCTTAACGTGCCTTCTGAAGCATGGAGGAGCTTAAATTAATAAATATTTGGTCTCCCATCCTATGAACGGCCCGTGTTGAGGCCTACGAGAATACGAGATAAAGGATACGAGATAGTAAAAAATATATATATATAAAAAAACTTTAAAATGAGAATCAGGCCAAGAGTTAAACAAATAATACAAAAGAATATTATAAGTATTAGAAATGCAATTTTATTTGTATTTAATCATATTTATGGTTACAAAAGTTTGATTTTCTGCAAATCATGACTTAATCAGATTCAGAAAAATATAATTAAAATATTTTTGGAAATCTTCACTAATTTATATTGTATACAGTAGGCATTCAGGGCTTCCCTACGAATTGATTCAAATGGGGTGAGCGGACTAACCCATGATGCGGGCCCAGTGTGGACTAGTGTGTGATGATGACTGCAAATGCAGTCCCATGACCGTCCTTTGCAAAAGTCGCTTAATCTAAATAGCGTCAATTATATTTTAATATATTATTTATGTAATATTTATTTTTATAGAGCAAAACTGGAAGTTTTAAAGTTAGTAGAAATCGAGGCTAAAGCTTTGAAGGTTGGTAACCATGACAAGGATAATCTGATAGCCGCCCTTCAAGCAGAGTTGACAAAAGAGAAGGACAGTAATAAACGCCTAATAGAAGAGAAAGAGGAGATAGAGAAGGCTTACAAGAAAGAGAGAGAAGAGTGGCAAGCGGAGAGTAAGAAACTGGAAGAGGAATTGAGAAGTAATAAAGAACATTATGACATGGCTATTGAAGGTGAGTTGCCTTACATCCTACTGTTGTACTTAGTTCTATTAAAGATAAGTTACTACGATCTATTTGTCAGTAAGCACCCTTTAAGGAACATAAGTAGGCCATTTTGATTCAATGACGTCTTTACAAGTACTTACGACTATAAAAAATATTCTAAATTTGTATAGGTAATGTCACTTTTTAAACTAATGACAATTATAATGGACGATTGTGGTACTCAGTGTTAGTGTGTAAATACGGATCGATTTATATCTACAAAGATTGCAGGCCCTTTTTACAAACGTCTTTTGCTATATCTATTTTTTTTTAATTCTCGCTCGTTCGTTTTTATGACTGATTGTAATTTAAAAAATATAAACAGCTATAACTCATGGCTCATTTACATTTATAGTCAGGGCCCTTATGCGGAGTAGTAAAAGTTTTTATTGTGTCCCTCAAATGGGCTCCGGAACTACTAGAAGGATTTTAAAGATTCTTTCACCTACGAGCTATAATTTACAAGGGCGAAGTCGCGGGAAAACAGTTCGTTGAAGTTGAAGTTGAATAAACAATGACACCAATGAAAATTATGTATGAAAATGATGATGTGAAAATGATGTATGAAAATGAGGTACAGAAATAGTCTCTATCTTTGTAAGTGAGCCACTAAGAACAATCGAACATCAACCAAACCCATGCAACCTGTTTAAACTAAATTTGATTTCTGTTTCTAAGTTTTGTTTGGCAAATATTTTAAGAAGTTACAAATTTGATACAAAAGAAATACAACTTAATAAGTGATTTTGTTATCAACGTCGTACACAAAATTAATTGATTAGATATACGATGGAAGCGATAACGTGTAATTGCTAGCCAATTTTATCGACAAATCAATAATATTCACAATTTGATTACTCCATAAAATTAATAAGAAAGTGAGGTTAGAATTATAAACAAAACTGTAGTTTATTTTAAATTCATTAACTATACTTACTCAAACAAATATATGTATTTTATTTGGTGATTATGTTGGGAGCTAATGCTGTGTTAAAATATTCCAAAAAATGTGAAAATAGTGGTGTTTAATTTTCATTATGTGAAGATCTTTAATATTCTATTTTTTTAGTGTTTGTTACACCCACTTTAAACTCCATATTGAGTATTTAAATATAAGACACGCTTTAGGACCCGTTTAAAAGTAGGTCTCTAAATTAATGTGTGTGGAAGTGAAAGTATACACGTATTTTTTGTTTTAAAATCAATTATTCAGTAATGTACTTCGTTTGACTGTACGTTTATTAAAATATGGTGGTTCCACCTGAAATAGTGGTAGAGGAAGCTAAGGATGCGTCCAACTATAATATGTCACTCGTACCTTGGACGAAGGAGTTTGAGAGTAGAGCCAACTTCTGGAAAGGTTAGTCTACTTCTGAGCTTTCTATATCTATACAATATTATAATGAGGAAAGATTTGATTGTTTGTTTGCATCGAATAGGCTCCGAAACTATTGAATCGATTTTAAAAATTCTTTACCTATAGGTAGCTACATCATACGGGGTTAACGGGAAAACGGCTAGTTAATTACACGTCAAAAATCAACCAACTTTTGATATCACGTCAAAGTAATGGTCTGTAAGCTAGCAAAGATTTTAATGACCAATTTTTTCTCAGGCGTTTATAATTGTTGTAGATAGCAGTATCATGAATCTTGTGTGTAGTGGCTTCGTAAGTTCAGCAGAGATGGCCTCACAAAAAACGTGTAAAAGGCAAATGTCATTATCGTCCCGTTTATTTTTTTCGAAATTATAGTTAACTCCATAGTTTGAGCAAAAAATATCATTAGCCGCTTGCTCTGTCAGTTGGTATTCGGAAGTATGAAGGTAGAACACCTGGCAACGTGCAAGAAATCAGTGACGCTCTGGACTCTTGTTAATTTTCTTACAATCTTACTATCATTGCTTGTTGCAGTATTTGTACGACTTTACTGACAAGTTTAAGCAAATATATCACACTCAATTGCACAAACATCCATTAAAATTAACATCAGTTTTAAGCGACATTACCGGTACAATTTTATTGATTTAGCTCATTCATTCATTACAGCTTAAAGAATTAAACCTTAAAGATCGTAATTAATGTATATGATATTCCAAAAATTTATATATTTAAATTAATATATTAACAAATCTTTTTTTTATAAATAAGGTATATCATTTATAAGAAGTGGTCAGTTCAACGTATATTGTTACAGAACGTGATAAACAGCATGAATTGGAGAAGAAAACTTTATGCGAAGAACTGGAAGCGGAAAGACAGAGTCGTCAAAAATTATTATCCTCACAATACGAATTACAAGAGAGATACGATTCATTGCAGAGGTAGGAATAAATTAAAAAGAAATATTCTACATAGCGTTTAGGGTTGACCCATTTATATCTACAGCGGCAGCATCAGCGAAGCTTTCGTGCACTCTCTATCTTTTATCGCAAATGACGATCCAGACGTATAAAAAAGGATAGAACTTGAAATGAGATTCCGTGAAAACAAAATTTTATGCACAATGCATTTTATTGGATTTCAAGCTATGCTAATGGTTTGAAAGTAATAATAAAAATTTATTTCTGATACAAGACTAAAGCTGATACTGAACTTGATAGTAGACTAACTTCTTTATTTAAAGTTACTCCTCGAAGAATACCAATACATTTTTTTTTACGATTGCAAATTTTAATATTAATATTATCCTGCATAGTTTATAACCTTTTTCGCCATAGACAGACTTGTAGCGAGAAGATCTTAGAAATTATGCAAACGCGGGTTTTTTCTCTACATTGTATTGTGTTAGACAGTTTATATCATAAGAAAGAGTAATTTGTAACTTATCTAATTTAAAGTTAGCGGGGTAACTTATTAGGGAAACGATTCCCTTTCAGGTTAGAATTTCTTATTCTTGGTTTTTGGAAAAGTACAACTTGAATTTTCTATTTTTTTATACAGAGCTCCACCTACCAAAGAACATAGGAGATCTTTGTCTGATGCCAGCAACAATTCTCAGCAAGAAACCACGGTGGAAGATGTGAGTCTTTATTCTGTGTACATTTTCAACTTAGTACCGATCATTTTCATGTCACAGCCCTTTAAATGTGCATAATATGGGAGACTCCTTTTGCGAGCGGTTGGAACTACATCATGGTTAAATTAAGCGTATACTTAAAAACCACAATTTATAGTTAATCAAGAAAGAAAAATAATTTTCTTGTTAATCCTCTTCACTATTCACTTGTTAATTCACTTTAAGTGCGTATGTATATTAAACATTTTTAAACCTAAGTTTTGAAAAAGCCGATAGATGTTACAAATCTGATAAGTATTCATTGCTATAAAAGAGTACTAGTAAGTGTTATTTAAAATAGTTTTTTAGAATAATAAAAAAAGAACATCTTAGCTAGGTTTTAAACGACTATCTTTATGTAAAAATCGCATTGAAAAAGCTAATATATTGTATATAGGATTACGGGTATGGTTCGGTGAGATCTGTGGAGAGCACTCGACCTGCGCTAGAAGCCGTCAACTGGTCGGCAGGCTCACACAATGGACCTGTGCCGGTACTATGTTATTACTATTTGATACCGTAATTTATTCGCGTAAATCTGCCATTTGGCGTTGATGCAATATGTATTCTATTTCCATATTTTCACTCATATCTATAGTCGAGAGAAGTAATTACTTGAGAAAATAGCATTAAATTAAGCAGATATTTTAACCAATACAAGCTGAATGAAGTAAGAACTGTTAATAGCTAGTAATAATAGTCTTCTTATTTTTTGTAGTTCTTACTTTATTTAAGTTCTTATTTTATTTATTTATTATATCATCACTCTTGTCTATTAATTAAAAATATTTACATTCACTCCTTTCTTACATAGTCTGTACATTTTTGCTTAAGACTTCCTCTCCTTACATTGGCGTCCACGTTTATGTCCATAATGTTTTGTTTTGTGCTAATGGTCTTTTCTCATTATATTTAAGTAGTATGCCCTTGAAAATTTTGAAAGAGAAACTTTGAAAGAGTTCATTGCCTGCTTTTTCATGTGTTGAAAAGTTTCTATGAGGAACATATCGACGTTGGAAAACAAACACATAGAGTAACCCGCAAAACCAAAATTGTTTATCAAAGCAGAGTAACTTATTTTATAAAATTACTTCTGTATGGATCGACTTAAGGCTATATGTTTGTTAGAATGGATGTTCACAAGAATATTTTCTTTGTGGTTTATGCGTTACTACACGTTTGCTTTCCATCGTCGACATTATACCTAGGTTATCACAATATGTCAATTTTTCCCTAATTGATTTTGAGAATTCAACTCCCGAGTTGACTAAGTTGATACCTTAGTAGGTTTAAAGTCAAGTGAAGATGACATATTTGTATAACCTGACGTGTTGACTGAATATAAAGTATTATTAATATGTATAGATCGCTGACGCGGGATTGGTATTGAGAATGCAGAACAGAATATCAGCGTTGCAGAGCGAATTGTCTAGAACGGCGAAACGTGCTAATGACTTGGAAGAACGGCTCCTGAGTAAGTTGTTCATGTTGTTTTATTATCCACTTGGAAGTAGTCGACAAATTAAAAGATTTAAATAAACTAAGAACCGCGCCATCTAGGGATTTGATTAAAAATAAATAGGCATATGACTACTCTGGCAGCTGTCGTCGCAGTGACATAACACATTGGCGGGTCGTGTTTGTAAGTCACGTGACACACATATAACAAATATATACTTTTAATTTCATGATAATAAGATAATCATGCCATTTTTTACTCAAAATCAGAATATCATGTTAATTTTAGTATTTTTGCAATTTCGTGAATTATTTTTCACAACCGATACTACCCTATTCAATCACTATAAAACGAAGGTTTGAACGGAATTTTTTTCCGATATCGTGGCTGATGTTTGACTTGAGGCTTTTGGGTAATGCTTATTTCTCTAATTATTTTGACTTCTACTTCGTCCGAAAGCTCACCAATAACTTTAACCAAAGAATTTAAGACTTCTTTCTGTAGTCGATTGACTGAATCTTAAGGGAGCTTAACTATGTATGGATGGATATTCAACACTCAAGCTGAAAAAAGTTTAAGATCCACTGATATAATAATCTATTTTTATTTATCCATTAATTACATTATTTTTATTTTTTTCGTATAGATCGCCTCTCGTCACCTCCGTCAAATCCTAACATCGACCGTTTCAAGGTTGAAGAGTTGGAGATAGAGAACAAGAAGCTTCGAGAACATTTAGACCGACTGAGAGCAGCCGGTGATAGTTTACTTGTATCCAAAGAAGTTATCGGTGAGTAATTGCATCTAGTACTGTATATTATTGTAATAAGGTTGAATATTCTATAAAATCTGGAAATCAAGCTGAGGTACTGAATGAAGTGATAAATAAGTAAGTAAAGAAGTATGAATAAGGTGGGCAAGGTATTGGATTACTATTACGTTCTATAAACGAAATACTTGTTGAAGGCTTTACCACGCACGACCTTTTATCGGAATACTTTTACAGACACTATTAGAAAATTGGTTACTCGATTGTTTAGTTTTATATTATATATAATTATTATAATTATATATTATATAATCAATTTTTAAACGCAGTACTGCCGGTACATTAAAAAATGCCGGTACTAAGATATTTGAAACAAATTTTCTGCAGTTGCAAAAGAAGAAAAGGTAACAAATGCTTGAAAAATTTGTCAGTCCTGTTAGATCCTAGGTATTTAGAGCAATCGTCCGGATTGCGAAAGATCTTGGGTTCGAGTCCCATCTTAGAGTGCCAGGGACAAAGTGGAATTTTTAAGCATTTTTTATTAAGAATAGATTTACATAATTTTATTCACAGACCAACTGGGTGTAATGCAACAAGAATTGGACCGAAGACGTGACGAATGCATCCAATTGAAGAGCGTACTCACAAATCAGGTATGCTTAAGCTTCATAATAGGGTATTCTACTTTGTATGAAATAAAATTTGTAACTGATTATATTAATGTAAAAATAAAAATATATATATATATCGGAGAAATAAACGCTACATCTTGCTTTAATATTGAATCAATTTTTTTTTATACTAGTGGAAACGCTGTCCTTCATATTCATGATGTCGTTCTGATATGTATACAGAACATGCGTAGAGTAGAAGATTAAAAGATGTCAATAAAACAAGAACAATGTCATATGACGATCAATTACGAAATCAAAAGATGTAAATAAGTTAATAACAGCGCCATCTAGGAATTAAAAGGAAATATCTATATATACAGATTATATATAATAAATATAGAAAAAAAAATCACGACTTAATTTTAAAATATTAATATAATCGTGCGATTTAAGACTCAAAATCAGAATTTCTATGTTTATTACGATGTAAATTTTAGTTTTTGTGCGATTTCGTGACTTATTTTCACTACCGAAACTATCCCATTCTGCCCTATAAATTAAAAAAGTAACAACTGTGTATTATTGAAATACGCATATTAATCATTTAAGAAGAAACGACTCTTGAACTGTTTAAATCCGTAGCAATAACATATTAATTAATATTAAGCGGAGAATTCACTAAACGGACATGCCTACCAACCTCGTTTAATATAGTGCGGGCATGTCTGGCTAGTGTAGGACTGTCGCAGTCATAACATAGACCTATAGTAACGACGTCTACGAGGTGAGCATATCTGCAGAGTTGCACGCGAGCATGTCCGTCTAGTGAATTCCTAGCTTAACACACAGATTATCAAATAGAAAATCGTCACATACATTTTTAGAGTGTTATCTCGTATCAGAACGCAAGGTTGACATATCGGACAAATAGATAAAGAAAACTTAGTAAATCGTGTAGTTCACGGTATTAGAGTGGGTTCTGTTACTTTTCTTAATTGTTATGTAAGTTATTTCTATGACGATAAAGTCTGAATTAGCTGATGGTTCTATTCTGTATAATAAATTAATATTATGTTATTAAGTTCGTAGACATAAATTCTTACTTTAATAATATTTGAATCTTTATAATAATTAGAAAATATGTACATAAATTTATCTACTTTATATTCATTCATCCCAAAAAATTGCGTTTTGTGATCGGAATTTTTTCTTCCGCCCTTCTTCCTAAAAAGGGATTACTTAATTTTCAAACATCAATCTTTGAAAAGGATTATTAAAATGTAGTAGTGAACCTCAATGTATGATATTTACTATCTGTAAACATCAGTTACAAAACATTTACAGAACGGACGTTAAATTAACATTATTTATTTATTTCATAGTTACGACAGTTTGCAAATAAATATTGTGACGAACAATAATGTGTTTAAATTACATATATATAAAGTTGATTACTGATTGTATTAATAATTATAAAGTTGCTCATCCGTTTTCAATGGAACTGGCAGTTAAGAAGAAATCATGAAGGTAAATCGCGTGTTCAGTGATTTTAGGAAAGAGTTTCAAATGTCCAAGGCCTTGTTTTTGGATAAACCAAAACCTTTTGCAGTTCACAAGGATTTACCATTGATACAGAGTGGATTGAAATTCAGAAATAGACAGGTGAAAAGTAACATTTAATGAATAGGTGGGTGAGGGGGCCAGGAAATCATGATAGGATTTTGTATACTTTCTCTATCTACTGTTGACAATAAAAGTTGACGATTCAGAACTTTGATAGTCCCCTCCTAGTGTATTTTTAAAATGAAAACCGCACATAGGATAAAATTTGCTTTCTTTTTATTATTATTATTGTTAAGAACTTTCTATAGCAAGCTCAAGAGTTGTTGTATTAAATGACTAGTCTGCGTGGTAAATAAATTATTGTAATTACCACAAACTATTACAATACAAACCAATAGTTTGTATTTTACAATACAAACTATTGGTTGATTAATTTGTGAAGTAGTATTGAGATTTATCTAATAAAATATTTTCTCAAATGCAGAAACCGTGGTTCCAAGCTCTCAAGAACGTCGTGAGTAGCATAGACAAAAATAGTCAATGCTTTCATTTATGCATTTAATTTTTGCATGATGAACCACTATCATACATGTAGCATTTACGAATGCATAAAAATACGATGTTTTTTGTATTATTTTTAAACGTTCGGGCCAATTTTTTGATCCCTGGTTAACTCAACCATTTGTTAAAATCTTCAACAAATGGTTAAATATCAGAAAAATATGTTTTTTGATTAATAGTTAGTCTAACCAATTGTCAGAATTCCAACCATTGGTCAAAAAATTTATCCATCACTGGAAGCTAGGTTAAGCAAATGACCAATGGTTAAAAGAATAGATGTACAATGATGATGTGTATTTACTTGGTCCCTTGTTTTTGTTTTTTACTTTGTTTTTATAACCCTTCATGAATCCATAGTGAATTTGGACATTAGTTATTTTTGGGATTTCGTTTTATGATGCAATTTCATAGGAAAATATTCATTGTAATTTTTGGGCTTTAGTGTAATTGAAAATAAGTTATATTTTTATCGTGATCCTCCTTAATATATTTGTACTATATAAACAATTTGTTTCTTGTTTCCACGAGCATATGCCAAATTATTCAATTATTAAAAATCTTATAAAATCCACGAATAGACAATACAAAAGGTAAATATGCCTACAGTATATAAAATACATATTCCTCGATTTATTTTTCAACATTACAATCGCACCTTGGATACTAGATACTATATTATTTTCACGTATTTCTTTATAAGATAAAGATAAGATGAATAAAAAACAAAATTATGCTTTTTATAAAAAAAAGTTTAAAATAACTCGAAAAAACAATATCTTTAATATTATTAAAATTATCTATTAATATTATTTCCTGTATTATAAATTATTCCCTGAAAAAATAACACATCAAATAAATATCCTCAATCATCAAATAAATGCACTCAATAGAACAACCTACCTTTGTCTATTTGATATTTGGAAAAAAATCCTAACTTCAAAAATCGTATGTAGTTCGCTCCGTTCATTCAAATCTTTAGTGCTGTAGCCGGAAAAAAATACCCATGTCAATGTATAGCGAAAGAACGACTCATTGTGCTGGCAACAAATTAACCAGTGGTTAAATTTGGCTATGTTTAATTTGGCATCAAAAACGAAATAGCGGGTTAACAACTGGTTTATGTTTTAACTATAGTCAAGTTAACAAATAGTGAAATGACATTTGACTACGGATCAAAATACTGGCCCTAAGCTTCCGGTATATCAATCAATCAATATCACGTTAGTTTAATAAAGAACTGACAAATTTTCCCAATATATTTTAAACCTAAATCTATGATCTTAAAATGAATTGGGGAAATTTTTACAGTTTGTCGTAAACTGATGTGTGTTAACAATGCTGCTTGTATGAGAATGATGTAAACTAACTGTTGCATGTCTTGGGTGTTTCATCGAAACAAAATTAATCAACAGAAAATGCAAGCGGTAATATTAAATACATCAATCTGTTTTTGCGTTACAATTGATTGTACTTATTTCTTTATAAGACATTTTTCTTTTATTATACTAATTTTCTTTCACGTTTCACGCATGGATTCTTTTGCTGTCATTGCATGGTACTATTTTATATTATTATTTTTGTCAGTATAAAGCATGAATTTTGTAAAAAAAACTAAATTAATTTAAATTTAAATATGTTTATTTGATTATGAATTTATCTAAATAAATGAATATTTTTGAGGTTGTCACAAAATATATGCGAATAATTTTAGGGATTCTTTTTAAAATAAAAGGAATTCTCTGGTTTATTTTATACTAGTTACCTAAAATTTTCATACATTTTGATTTTAAACCTTATTTTGTTACCAGTTGAGTTCGAAAATAATCGCTGAAATTTAATATTTTGTGATAACCTCATGTACTTTAATTATTTCAATTCGTATTTTCAAGCTATTATTGATATAACGACGAAAACGTCTTGTCTGCGTACTAATATTATGGCTCCATCCAACTCCAAGCTCCAACTCCATCTGTACTAATATTATGAAGAGGAAAGGTTTGTTTGTTTGTTTGCATCGAATAGGCTCCGAAACTACTGGACCGATTTTAATAATTATTTCACCTACGGGTAGCTTCATCATACGGGGTTGACAGAGGCTATAATTTACGCGTACGAAGTCGCGGGAAAACAGCTAGTTGACTATACATGTATACTCAATAGTCTGGTTGTGGTTGCTGATAATAGTTTTAGATTTCGTAATATTATTTTCAAAATTATTGATTAATCGTATATAATCAGTTTTCACAATCTGAATTGACCTTTTTCCCTATAGACGGTGAACCTAAAGTCGCTTGCTACTTCAAACTACGGCTCAGACGTGGATATTATCAACGAAGACGGAGAATTGGCGTCGGCATACGAAGCACAGAAGGGCATCAACAGGTTTGAAGACTTATTAGCAGAGAGAAGGAATATATTTAGAATGACGCATTAGATCTTACGGACCAATTTTGAATGTTTACTGGAATCAAATTTAAAATTGTCAATTCTTCCCCTTAATTACTCTATTACAATTCAAAAATAAGTATCATAGCGGCGATTGAGTCTCTGCCCTCTTTTCTTTCTTGTTCTAAGAATAAATACATCTATAAGATTTCAGATGCAACAATAGAATGCAACTAATACCTACCGTTTATTTGCAAAATTATAAAATAGATACAATAGCCGTATTGGTAAATTCCTTTGAGTTTAACTCTGATTTTAGACAACTACAAGAAGAGCTGACAGCAGAAAAGAAATTCTATTCGGAGCACATATCTAAGACTAAAGCAGAAATTGACAGACTTCGAGAAGAAAATGAGAAATACCAGAAGTGAGTTTATCTAATTATATTGACTAAATCTCCTCATTATAAGCAGCGTAGATTTTATAGTAGTTGATTTTTAGTGTCACATTCATAGAGTTAAAAATTTTTATGATATGATTTTGTTGTAATATTTATACAAAGCTCCTTTTTTGATATCATAGTATTCTTGTAATGTATTAGTGTATCATAGTTGATTGTGCTCATAATAAGTTTTATTATGTCCGGATTGCGACTGAAAACGAATGTTTAAAACGATATTTTTTGTCTAGTTTTGGATAGTCTTTATTATTTCTTACAGCGATGAAGAACAATTAAACAGTTTAAGCTTGAAGAGTGTCGGAAGATGTCGAAGCAATAAGAACGATTGCGTCACTAGTTTCATTACCAGAGACAATATATTTATACATTTGACCTTTTCATTGTTAAGCGCGCTGTGATAAGATGATATGTAGAGATGTATTGTATTTTTAGATTCTATTTATTTATGTTATTTGGATTGAATATAGCGTTTTACTTTTGTTGTTCATACTTGATGATATTGCTCACAGAAATTCACATATACAAAAAACTAGATACATAGTTATACTCCTAATATTTCAGTATCAATACACAATAACTCTTTCGAATCAATCTCAGTAACTATTGTATATAGATATACTGCATAGATATTTTCAAATCTATGCACTGAAAACTTTTGCAAACACTAATAGGGTGATGTTGCTGCAACCATATTAATTCTCGTTAAGATCCATGTTGTAACTACAGACTCATTTCAGAGCCATTTTGTAACCAGACTCCTACCAAACCACAGATTCAGACATACTAACTACAGGCCCTTCTGGGCAATGTTTTTAAGGTCACATTGTAAGCACAGGCTCTTCTCAGAGCCGCATTGTAACTACAGGCTCTTCTCATACCAACATTGTAACCACAGGCTCTTTTCAGAGCCACATTGTAACCACAGGCCCTTTTCAGGGCCACATTGTAACCACAAACTCGTCCCATAACTGCATTGTAACTACAGAATTGTAAAAGCCACTTTAATCACAGGCTCTTCTCAGAGCTGCTTTAGGGCCACATTGTAACCACAGGCTCTGCTCAGAGCCGCATTGTAACCATATGTCCTTTTCAGGGCCATATTGTAACCACAGGTTCTTCTCTGAGCCACATTGTAACCACAGGCCCTTTTCAGGGCTACATTGTAACCACAGGCCCTTTTCAGGGCTACATTGTAACCACAGGCCCTTTTCAGGGCTACATTGTAACCACAGACTCTTCTCAGAGCAACATTGTAACCACAGGCACTTTTCAAAGCCACATTGTAACCACAGGTCCTTTTCAGGGCTACATTGTAACCACAGGCTCTTCTCAGAGCCAAATTGTAACCATAAGCCCTTTTCAGGGCCACATTGTAAACACAGGCTCTTCTCAGAGCCACATTATAACTACAGGCTCTTTTCAAAGCCACATTGTAACCACAGGCCCTTTTCAGGGCTACATTGTAACCACAGGCTCTTCTCAGAGCCACATTGTAAACATAAGCCCTTTTCAGGGCCACATTGTAAACACAGGCTCTTCTCAGAGCCACATTGTAACCACAGGTCCTTTTCAGGGCCACATTGTAACCACAGGCTCTTCTCAGAGCCGCATTGTAACTACAGGCTCTTCTCATACCAACATTGTAACCACAGGCTCTTTTCAGAGCCACATTGTAACCACAGGCCCTTTTCAGGGCCACATTGTAACCACAAACTCGTCCCATAACTGCATTGTAACTACAGAATTGTAAAAGCCACTTTAATCACAGGCTCTTCTCAGAGCTGCTTTAGGGCCACATTGTAACCACAGGCTCTGCTCAGAGCCGCATTGTAACCATATGTCCTTTTCAGGGCCATATTGTAACCACAGGTTCTTCTCTGAGCCACATTGTAACCACAGGCCCTTTTCAGGGCTACATTGTAACCACAGGCCCTTTTCAGGGCTACATTGTAACCACAGGCCCTTTTCAGGGCTACATTGTAACCACAGCTTCTTCTCAGAGCCGCATTGTAACCATAGGCCCTTTTCAGGGCCACATTGTAACCACAAACTCGTCACATAACTGCATTGTAACTAAGGAATTGTAAACGCCACTTTAATCACAAGCTCTTCTTAGAGCTGCGTCAGGGCAACATTGTAACCACAGGCTCTTCTCAGAGCCGCATTGTAACCATAGGCCATTTTCAGGGCCATATTGTATCCACCGGCTCCTCTCAGAGCTACATTGTAACCACAGGCTCTTCTCAGGGTCACATTGTAACCACAGGCTCTTCTCAGAGCCGCATTGTAACCACAGACTCTTCTCAGAGCCACATTGTAACCACAGGCCCTTTTCAGGGTCACATTGTAACCACAGGCTCTTCTCAGAGCCGCATTGTAACCACAGACTCTTCTCAGAGCAACATTGTAACCACAGGCACTTTTCAAAGCCACATTGTAACCACAGGTCCTTTTCAGGGCTACATTGTAACCACAGGCTCTTCTCAGAGCCAAATTGTAACCATAAGCCCTTTTCAGGGCCACATTGTAAACACAGGCTCTTCTCAGAGCCACATTATAACTACAGGCTCTTTTCAAAGCCACATTGTAACCACAGGCCCTTTTCAGGGCTACATTGTAACCACAGGCTCTTCTCACAGCCACATTGTAAACATAAGCCCTTTTCAGGGCCACATTGTAAACACAGGCTCTTCTCAGAGCCACATTGTAACCACAGGTCCTTTTCAGGGCCACATTGTAACCACAGGCTCTTCTCAGAGCCGCATTGTAACTACAGGCTCTTCCCATAGCAACATTGTAACCACAGGCTCTTTTCAGAGCCACATTGTAACCACAGGCACTTTTCAAAGCCACATTGTAACCACAGGTCCTTTTCAGGGCTACATTGTAACCACAGGCTCTTCTCAGAGCCAAATTGTAACCATAAGCCCTTTTCAGGGCCACATTGTAAACACAGGCTCTTCTCAGAGCCACATTATAACTACAGGCTCTTTTCAAAGCCACATTGTAACCACAGGCTCTTTTCAGGGCTACATTGTAACCATAGGCTCTTCTCAGAGCCACATTGTAAACATAAGCCCTTTTCAGGGCCACATTGTAAACACAGGCTCTTCTCAGAGCCACATTGTAACCACAGGTCCTTTTCAGGGCCACATTGTAACCACAGGCTCTTCTCAGAGCCGCATTGTAACTACAGGCTCTTCCCATAGCAACATTGTAACCACAGGCTCTTTTCAGAGCCACATTGTAACCACAGGCCCTTTTCAGGGTCACATTGTAACCACAGGCTCTTCTCAGAGCCGCATTGTAACCACAGGCTCTTCTCAGAGCAACATTGTAACCACAGGCCCTTTTCGAAGCCACATTTTAACCACAGGTCCTTTTCAGGGCTACATTGTAACCACAGGCTCTTCTCAGAGCCACATTGTAACCATAGGTCCTTTTCAGGGCCACATTGTAAACACAGGGTTCTTCTCAGAGCCACATTATAACTACAGGCTCTTTTCAAAGCCAAATTGTAACCACAGGCCCTTTTCAGGGCTACATTGTAACCACAGGCTCTTCTCAGAGCCGCATTGTACCCATAGGCCTTTTCAGGGCCACATTGTAACCACAAACTCGCCTTTTAACTGCATTGTGACTACAGAATTGTAAAAGCCACTTTAATCACAAGCTCTTCTCAGAGCTGCGTCAGGGCCACATTGTAACCACAAGCCCTTTTCTGGGCCACATTGTAACCAGAGGCCCATTTTAAGGCAACATTGTAACCACAGGCCCTTTCCAGGGCCGCATTGTAACCACAGAATTGTGAACATCAACTTCAATCACAAACTCTTTTCAGAGCTGCATTGTAACTACAAGCCATTGCAATGGTCCTTTTCAGGGCCATATAGTAACCACAGGCACTTCTCATAGCCGTATTATAACCATAGGCTATTTTCAAAACCATATTGTAACCACAGACTTCTCACAGCCGCATTGAAATCCATAGTAAAAGCCACATTAATAGGCCCTTTTCAGGGCTACATTGTAGTCATAGGGCCTGTTCAGGGCCACATTATAACCACAGGCTCGTCTCAAAACCGCTTTGTAACCAGAGGCCCTTTTTAGGACCACGTTTTGACTAATGAGAAAAACAATCTCAATAGACCTGGAGTTCATATTTTCGTTTTTTTTTTAATTCTATATTATATTTATAATTATCTTATTTTGATATTAATTATACAGTGTTGAATGATTACTATTTAATAAACAAATAGCTGTAATTATAATAATTTTCTATTGTAGATTGCTGAGTGCTGATCTCAGTCAGGAACCCAAGAACAAAAACCAGGAGTTCGCACAGAATGAAATCATTCGATTGGCTGCAGAAAGCTTGGCATTACAGGTATTATTGTGTTGCTTAAATATACGTGGAACTTAGATCACAATATTTATATTTACATTTATTTTCTTCATACAGTATTCGAACTTCATACAGCACTGAAATCTCATGAATAGAATACGCAAATTAGGTTCATACACTCAATTTACCTTTATTAACTAACAATGAAGAAACATTAGAATGATAGTCTTCTACGAGGTTGCTATATTACATATAATATAAGCTAACATTTAAAAACTATATCCTGAAAACAAGGCTTCGATCTTGCTATTTTCCAGTTCTGCGAATACACTAGACTAGATCTAAAATCCAATTATCTAAACCCACATTTCTTTTTAATTTATCCGAATTCGACTTTGATAGTTATATGTCTCATCATCATCAGCCCTTTTATGTCCCCACTACAGGGACTCAGACCTTCCTTATGGATGGTTAAGGAGGATGGGCCATGACCCTCCACGCTGGCCCAATGCGGATTGGAGGGTATTAACGACTGCAAATGCAGCCGGGACCAACGGCTTAACGTGCCTTCCGAAGCACGGAGTAGCTCGAGATAATATTTTTTTGGTTATATGTCTATAATGCTCAAATCCTTTGTTAGGAACGCGTCGACAAGCTTTCGGAGAGTTGCCGCCGGTACAAGAACCAGATAAGACTTTTGGTTAACAAACTAAAGGAGGTCGGTGTGGAAGATGTCAATGATATCCTGGAGAGTAATGGTATGTTGACATATGACTAGTTTAAGAAAAAAAAAATTATTGTCGCTCAGATATCTGAAGAAATCGGTGGCGTTATATGGACTAATCTAGACGTCTATATGTTGAATATATTTATATACTTATAAAAAATTTCTATAAAAAATTTCAATATCACTTAAAACCATGAAATAGAAAACTTAATTATATAATGGATTTCTCATCATGTTCATTATGCATGTGTTCATCGTATTGTGTTCCGTTAATCTAAAGAAATATGTAAGTAAGTATTAGCCATAGAAGATAGTTAAGTCAAAACGTCTTACAAGGCCCCTTTTAATGCGGAGGTCCACTACGCCATCGGATATTGTGTTTGAGTCTCGATATAAATGTATTGCTTTTAATATTTCAACTTTTAAAAACCTTCATTTATATAACTGAAACCTGGAATTTTTTTGCTGTATTCCAGCCTAACGCATGCTTTATACAATAATGCATGCATATCCAAGCATTTTTTTAACGATCATTAGAGTTTAAAGGCTTCTAATACTCATAGACATAATATTATGACCGCGAATTGTTTTTGAATTTGGTTGTAAGAAATACCAATCCATTGATCCATTGATTACAAAGTCTCTCGCCTTTGATTTTTGGACGAAACTGTAGAATAATATTGAATTATTAATATATTAATAAAACCATAATATATTAAAAAATATGATTTTGTGCATTGTTTCATTCAGATACAGTGGTAGCAGTGAATTCATCGTTGCCTCTAGAAGTCGCGCCAGTCACTCGTAAGAAGGAGCGCGAATACCTCGGAATGTTCGAGTACAGGCGGCAAGATGAGCCTACTATCATCAAGAAACTTATAACTGGTTATTATTGATTATAAATATTAATCTGATAGGATACGATTTCATCATTATCACCATGGTAATGATGGGGATGACATGTTCAAAAAAATAAAAACCTCTCGAAATAAAATAATAAAAAAATTAACGTCATTGTAACCTGATTACTGGGGGTCTTCCCCAAGGTGAATGAACTAAAACCCACCATGTGGATTTAATGCGGATTGTAGAGAGCTAATCTCTGCGTATGCGGCTGAGACTAACAGCTTAATATACTTTCCGAAATACAGAAGAAGGATAAACAATAAAATATAATAATAATAGTATAAGAAAACAAATTGTGATTTCCATCCTGCTCGAAGGACCAGAAGTAGTATATGAAAACAGAAATGATTATAAAACTAATAAGAGGAACCATAAAGAAATATTCTTGATATTTTGGTTGAAATATATTAAATTTCTTTGTCTTCGTTAACATTAAAGAAATTCGATGTCAGTAACAAATACTATCGTAGTTTGTTTAAAACAATTATATATGTTTTGGAATATACACAAGTTACATAATTATCATTGTTTTGCGTCTGGTTTGTCACATGTCTGTTTTTCATATTGTCAGTTACGTTTGTTTAGATACGCATGTATACCGAATACTATCTGCACTTATATATTATTTTGTGAATAATATGAGTGGTAACATAATAAGAATGATTATTGAAAATAATTTATTTGTTGTTTTTAATAGATAAATACGTAAAATATAAAGTTAATTAAATTAAACATTTACCTTAATAACATTGCAAACTATTTGTTGTAAAGAAAAAGTGTTTAACCTCTTATATGCCTAAATCTTTTTAACCTTTTATCTGTCACGTGATAAAAAATATACAAACCATGATTACAATGATTTCTTCCTTTCCCATAGATCTGAAGCCCAAAGTGGCAGTAACTCTTCTCCCTGGACTTCCCGCATACATTTTATTCATGATGTTACGTCATACGGACCATGTAGACGATGAACCTAAAATGCATCAGCTGATGAAAGCTGTGCGTATAGCAGTCAAGAAAACGGTCAAGAAGAGGAGCGACAGCGTCGAGTATAACGCTCTGTGGCTAGCCAATATGCTTAGGTACGTGTGTCTCATACATGTCTAATAGTAGTTGTAATGGGGACAACATAATAATCTAGGTGTTGAGAGATGTTCACATAGCTGTCAAGAAGAGAAGAGAAGAGACCGATATGTATAAAATACAATAATGGACAGAGAAGATTCGAAGAAAACTCGTAAGGTGCTAAAACGTCACAATCACATTTAATTACAATTATTACATACCAAAAGCAACTATTAACTATCGAAATTGGTTGTTTGAGTTGAACAGTGAAAGTCAAAGAATACTAGACATCTTCTGTTGCATTTACGTTAACTATACAACTGTTATTTTAATTGCTGGTATATACTTAAAATTAACTTACTACATACCTTAGTAATAACTCAATTTTTAATTTCATTAAAGTGACTTAAATTTAAGAGCCATATTACATCGCAACTGTGATTTCTGCGTGATTTTTCTCGGAAACAAAAACAAAGTAACAATTTTGACTTGTTGAATAGTGAAGAATAACTCTTGGTATAGAAATTAGTGGCTCAACTTTTTGGTAATTTTGCTCATCTTTTTAATTAAATCCAAAATACCAGAGAAAGTTTTTCATAAAATGCGCAAAGACACTTTTTTGAAGTCCTAGATTGAGCTACTGTTCTTAACAAACGAAATAAAAGAAATAGAATGATATCTCTTATATAGTCGTAAAGTAAACAGTAGCTCGAAATTTTGAAATAGCACTGATTAAATATAGAAAAACAATTATATTACAAACCAAAAAACATCAAAAATTGCTTGAAGTTAACTTTGAATTTCTCTTAGCCACAACAATATTATTTAACAAAATTTATGCCAGATTAATGACTATTTCATAAGGAACAAAGTTATTATAATTTTAAAGCATAAATTTATTATATTATTTCAATAAATACGATAAATGTAAACGCAAAATCACTACAAAATAAGATGCAGCGGCCGTCTGAGCTCAGTACCGCGCGAGCGCTCCTCAACGTTAGACCTGTGTCGCATTTCTTCGCGCCATTTTTCGATCTAGATACGTTCGAGCGAGCGTAAATAGAGCAGTATAGTGGGACTTCCAACTTTGGTCGCGAAGTTCGATTTATATGGAATTTATATAGCTTATTGAATTATTTCTAATACACATTTGTTATTTTCAGCATAGGTCGAAAGACCCCTAGGTATATTTGTATAAGAAAGTTAAAATATATATTTATATTATGAAATGCAAATAAAGCAAGGTACTTCTTCTCTCAATACACTTATACTAGTACATAAAATTGGAGTGCATATTTGTAATATTAAAATAACCGCTTTTCACTAAATACATTTGTGTGTATACATGGTACATATACAAAAATAATATATTTTATCTGTCTGTCTGTTAGATCTGGCTAATCTCTGAAACGGCTTGGCCGATTTTGAAGAGACTTTCACTAGAAGTTGACTTACGTAATGAGGATTCACTTAGACTTATGGCTCGATGCAATTCGACCGATATCAAATTTATCGGAGATCCGCATATGAAACAACTTTTTCTAAATTCAATATATTTTTAATCCCGGACGCAAAAACGACGCGGTGTTATAAGTTTGACATGTCTCTGTGTGTGTGTGTGGTGTGTTTGTGTCTTTTTGTGGCATCATAGTTCCCGAACGGATGAACCCATTTTGATTTTGTTTAAAAGGTGTATTAGTCGGGAGTGTTCTTCACTTTGATAAAAATCGATACAAGATGGCCGCCGCCACAAAATGTCGGATCACATATTTTATCACCATTCCATCAATATGGGTATCAAATAAGAGGGCTTGAGTAGTAGAATACTGTTTACTATGACAAAATTTTATATACAAGATGGCCGCCGCCACAAAATGTTGGATTATCTATTTATTTATTTATTTTGTAAACATATACAATTTCATATGAACAAATGTAACAGACATTAGTACAAGGGCACTGCTTATTTCAAATTGAAATTTCTACCAGCAGGCCCAAAACAGGAAAAAGAAATACAATAAGGTAGTCAGTGTGTACCTCCTAAATAAATTAATATGGAATAAAAAAAACAAATTCAAATACCGGGAAAGAGAGAAAATAAAAATACATAACGGTTCAAACATTATATAAATAATAATATATATATATATCTATAATATATAAAGATTAATAATACCTACACTATCCAATATCAACAACAGGAAAGATAATGATCCTTTACTCTTTTTTTGAACACAGAAATAGTGCGACTGTCACGTATATCGGCAGGCAAAGAGTTCCAGAGTCTAGCAGCATGAACAGTGAAGGAATATGAAGCAAAATCCGTTTTGTGTGAAGGAGTTTGAAGACTTAAGGTGGGATCTGCAAAGAGCATCAGGAGAACGGAGAAAGGAGAAACGCTCACGCAGATAGGAAGGATAGACGGGATTATACAGGATGTTGAACAGAAGACAGACAATCCTGACATATCTACGCTGACGAATGGGAAGCCACATGAGCTGCTTACGTAAATGTGACACATATCATACTTACGAAGACCATAAATAAATCTAATCGCTAGATTTTGAAGTCGTTCAGGTTTGTTTAATAACTCCTCCGTGGCATCCAAGTAACATGCATCTGCATAGTCAAGAAGAGGTATAATTAAGGATTGTGCTAGTAACACTTTAGTTTTAAAAGGTAAAAAGTTTTGAAGGCATTTAAGTGTGTGAAATGAGAAGAAGGTCCTACGACTAACCTCAGATACATGGGCAGTCCATGATAGATTTGAATCCATTGTAATTCCAAGATTTTTTACAGTGTCTGTTAACTCGATCTGAGTCCCATCCAAAAGCAGGGGTGGTAAAGATAATGCAGAAATAGAATTAATATTAAACCTGCTACCTATCACAATGGCCTGAGATTTACTCGGGTTAAGCATGAGGCCAAACTATTTTGCCCAAGTACTAATGCGATCCAAATCGTTATTAATAGCTACCAGTGCCGAGTTACAGTCTTCTATTTTAAAGAGTCGATAAAGCTGCAAGTCGTCTGCATAGAGGTGGAAGTTTGAAGATATAACTTTAGTAACCGAGTTAATGAAAATAGAAAATAAGAGAGGTGAGAGAACAGCACCCTGAGGAACACCCGCACCGAGGTCGCACCAATCAGAAGATTTATTACCAAGACGCACACGTTGCGTGCGTCCCCGAAGGTAGGAATCAAACCATGAGAAAAAGAAGGAGAGATATTGTAAGAACGAAGAATAGCGAGAAGAATGTCAAAATCGACAGAATTAAAAGCACTGCTGAAGTCTAGAAGAATTAGAACTGTAAGAGCTTTATTCTCCATAGCCCAACGAATATCATCAGTAATGTTTATTAAAGCTGTTACAGTACTGTGACCAGGGCGGAAACCAGATTGGTACCTATTCAAAAGGGAATTAGAAAAAAGAAAAGTTGATAATTGCTTATGAACAATATGCTCAAGAAGTTTAGAGAGAAGGGGAAGAATAGAAATAGGACGAAAATGAGATGGGACTGAAGGATTAGATACTTTAGGCAGTGGAATAATGTGCGCCATCTTCCAAATTTTGGGAAAAGAACCGGATTCAAGTGAGAAGTTAAGTATGTCAACAAGTATAGGAAGGAGAAAAGATAAAATAGGGGTAAACATTCTTACGCTTAGGTTGTTCTCGCCAGCAGCCTCGGAAGAAATGAATTTTTTTCTTGAATGGCTTGAATGGTATTTTTAATGTCAGTTTCGGATATTTTTGAAAAGACAAAAGATGTGCAGTCTGGCCTCGGAACCAGTGAAAGTTCTGCGAGCGTAGAATCCTTTATGTCACCATCGATAGTAGAAGGAGGAAGGGAGAAGTGTCTGTTAAGGACGCTTAAATCTACATTGGTAGACACAGTAGCAGTAGATTTCCCCACTCCTACAGAGCGCAAAAACCACCAGGCATCAGTAGGATTGCGATCAGTAAGAGAGCTATGGAAGAAGCGTCGCTTAGCATCCCTACACATACGACTGCAGCAATTTCGAAGAACCTTAAAACGAATAAGATTGCGGTTAGTTGGACGTTTCTTATGTGCTCTTTTTGCCTTATCTCTTTTTTGACCACCAAAAAAATTGACCACCCATCCAATTGCCGGCCTTTGCAATCGTCGCTTAACCTCCTCAATCGCAGATCAAACGAGCTATCCGGCACCATCGAGCTTTTCATTTGTTTATATACGGATATTGCCGTATTTTTTTGTAAAATTCAATATATTTTGATGATATGGTAAGTATGAGCAAATGAATCGTTCCTCGATATTATTGAACAGAAAATCAAAAGCAGATCGAGCGTTCTACCACCTTCATACATTTGAAGTGATACCGCAGACCATGAGATTTGTGACCGATATTGACAGATAGTACAATCTCATGAGCAAACACTTGAGTTTTTCCATACATTTTATAAGTGCATGCGATTCGTGTGATATCGTTCATTCATATCGAATAACATCGCATCTAGCCATGAGAAAAGAACCTTAGATTACTTTCCATTCGCATAAAGCCGCGGGCACAACTAGTTTAATATAATTCTAATTTACTACTTTTCCAAACAGGAAACAGTCCATGTTTCCTATGGATGACGAAAATATTTCGAAATCGTCGACGAAAAATATGGCACGAATATTTTTTAATTAATATTTATGATTTTATTGATATATTGTCATCGCTATTTATATTTATAGCCTATGATTTGGATAAACTTGTTTCTTTTAATTTTTGTCCGATCTTAGTAGTCGTGTTTTTAATTTTTAAATAATTTTTATATTTTATTCATTTTAGTGAGCAGTTAATTTTGTATATAGATTATATATTTTTAATGGACCTTTAATTTGATACCCATAAAGTTATGATTATAAAAAAAACATACTTTTTTAAATGGCGTCACACGTCCCCATACCTATTTAATATTAATAATTAAGCAAGTTTCACTGATACTCTATGTATTTTGTGATAACTTGGGATGATGTTTCTAATGATACCCTGTACATTCATATCCGTTATATCTTTCAAAAGTTATGTTGCAATAAAAATACTCACATACATACATTAATTCTAAAAACAATAGACTCCTTTTCGAGAGCAGTCGTTTAAAATATTCGGGAATCGATAATGAATCTCACCATAGAAATACTAAAATAAATACAAAAATTGGGAAAAGTATCAAAATAGCTTGAACGTGGTTTCAACACAGTATTGTGGACTCGTGACCTTGAACAAGTTCTCGAGAACTCAAATCACAGAGTGAAAATTTGTCATATGGCTCTTAAGTATATTTACAAATATAGTTAAGTTCTTTAGTTCACTCAAGACGGACAATCAACAACGCAAAGAAGTCGCAAATTCTGTGCTAGGTTAAGTAGTTAACTAAATCATTGAACCTTTATGCTATGACAGCACTGTCGAGTTCAAAGCTGATGTTATTACAGCATATCAATAGCATAACTGATCTTAAGTTAATGAGAATCATTATATAATATTACATTATAAGAGTGTAGACATTTTTTTATATATTTGTATGTTATAGATAAACATGAAATATATTTAAATAAATATATATATAAAAGTATTTATCATACAAATTTTCCCGCGAAAACGCCCACTTCTGTCATGGCGTCGCTATGACGTTACGCTTCTCTCTAGCTAATATCATTCTTTATGTGCAATATTATAAACATAATAAGCATAACAATATGATTTATCGGTAATAGTATATTAATAACTACCAGAAGCGAAATGTATTTATTATCGTTTACTGTATACATCCGTATTGTGACAGGTTACTGAACAACCTGCGTCAGTACAGCGGCGACGAGATGTACCAGGTGTCTAATACGCCGCGTCAGAACCAACAGTGCTTGCGCATATTCGATCTGTCCCAGTACCGGCAGGTGGTCAGCGATTGCGCCGTCTGGATATACCAGGGTATGTGTACGATAGGGTGATGATGGTAAAAAAAAAACTTCTAATTAGTCTGTTAAGTAAATTACCGCCTATGTCACCCGCGTATGATGTACCTTTTCATAGATGTAAGAAGTTTGCAAATCTGTCCAGTAGTTACGATGCAAATAAACAAACACACAATCAAATCTTTCGCCTTTACATTATTAAAATAAACTTCAATTGAAAAGGTTCACAATGAATTATAACACGGATAAATACAATAATACGGACGGTAACCCAGGTCTGGTCCACCTGCTGGAGCGTCAGCTGGAGCGTTTGATCGTGCCCGCGATCCTGGAGCACGAGGAGATCAAGGGTCTGTCGGGGCCTGCGCGGGCGCCGCCCGCCGCCCCCGCGCCCGGCCCCGCCCGCCTCAAGCAGGAGCTCTCCAACACTAGTGACGTACTGCGGCAGCACGCCGTCGCCCCACCCCTGGCCCTCAACATATTCAAACAGGTACACTATAATAATGCGAGTTTAAACCGCAGCAACTGCAAAAATAGAGAATTTTTTGAGTTTTATAATATAGTCTGTATCGTCTAATTTATTCATTATCTTTTTTACGATCAGTAATACGAGGACGGGATGATAAATAGCTAGCCTAGCATAGAAAAACTTGAATTAGTGTGTTAAAAGTATATTTATTTTTTGACATAGTCTCCTTGAATTCCCCCTTCTCACTTCATCCATCTATGCTCTAAAGCCTTGATGCCATCCCTGAAGTAGTTTTCTTCAAGCCCTTTAAAATAACTGTCCACGGCAGACATCACCTCGCTATTATTTTCAAATCTTTGTCCACCTAAAAAATTTTTGAGATTAGGGAATATATGAAAATCAGATGGTGCCAGATCAGGAGAATAAGCTGGGTATGGTAGCAAATCATAATTTAATTCTTTGAATTTCGCCATCGCAGTGATGCACGTGTGAACGCGCGCATTATCCTGATGAAAGATTATTTTTTTTTAGCCGGGCCGGGTCTTTTTTCATGAATACACGCTTGTAATTTATCCAGTAGATCAGCATAATATTCACCATTTATGTTTTGTCCTTTTGGAATCCCAAAATACTGACGCCGTGACTTTCCCCGCTGATTTCACGGCTTTTGTTTTCTTTGGAGCCGGGGATCCTTTTCCGTCTATTGTTTATACTGAATTTTTGATTCAGGTATATAGTGGTCAACCGCCGCAGAAAATCAGTTGTATTGCTCTTAAAGCGGTCCAAACATTCTTATGGAACGCGTTTTTGGTCAACTGTGAGCAATCGCGGCATCCACCTTGCGGATAATTTTTTCATACATAATTCTTGAGTCAAAATGTAATGCGCCCGTTCTTTAGAGATGCCTACAGTATCAGCTATCTCGGAAAGTTTCAATCTTCGGTCAGCTAAAACTGCATCATGAATTTTGATCACAATTTCTGGAGTAGTCGGTCAGCTAAAACTGCATCATGAATTTTGATCACACTTTTTGGACGTCCTGGACCCTGGACGATGTTCATCATGGGTGCTGGTACGGCCACGTTTAAATTCAGCCACCCATATTTTTATGGTCGCATATGAAGGAGCATTTTCTCCCAAAACATCCTTCATCTCCGAAAAAATCTCTCCACCTTTTAATCCTTTTAAATGTAAAAATTTTACCACAGCTCGTAGCTCAATTTTATCCAATTTGCAGAAAAAACAAAAGCTTTTTGAAATGTCAATATTTAAAAGAAAAACTATACGATCGATTTGAAATTTGGAACACTGGCAGCTAATGAACCAGTGAGTAAAATACTCAGGAGATTTTATATCGTTATTATAAAAAATATGAGTTGGACTAGCTATTTATCATCCCGCCCTCGTAGTATTAGTCTTTTAAAATCGAGGCGCGTAATTTTACTTACTCTATATAGTTAGTTAATATAATATAAAAACTGTTAAATATATATATGTTAAATAGTTTAAAAAACAATATAGCAAAATAAATAGAGAAGCATTAATAGCAATCCAAATTATAATGGCTATAATTTATTTATTAATCATGTTTTCAACTTGAAATTTGTGAATTATTTTAGTATTCTAACTTTTCTTATATTTTGTATTCAAAATTTTATCATAAACAGTGATTTTTTAAATATACGTAACATTTAAATTTCACCCGAGGTTCTCCCGTTTTTTTGTTAAATGTTAAAATAAGTTTTATTTCTGCAGTTATTCTACTACATCTGCGCGTACAGCCTAAACCAGCTGTTGCTTCGCAAGGACTTGTGTTGTTGGGCAAAAGGACTCCAAATCAGATATAACATCTCCCACCTGGAGACCTGGATCAAGGAACACCTGGCGGAGTACGGCCAGAAGAGCGTGAGTTGTTACTTTTATATCCTTAGATAATGACGTTTATATGTTTAAATTATAAATGGTTTATTCCTCTATTATTCTCCAAAATGTATTAATAAATAGCAAGAAATAAAATATTTTATAAAATTATTCGTGATTCAACAGATGCCTTTTTTGGGACTTTGCCTCATGAGTGGGACAGAACATGATGAAGTTCATTGAAATATATCGTAATTTTGTTATAAGAATACGGTACGTTCTTGTGTCCAGTATAACGTGCAACATAGAATATTATTATTAATTAGTGTTATCGACAGCAAGAACGTGGTCTGTAGTTAATTAATAAGAGGGTTATATTAGCACGGAAAAAGATATATTTAAGAATATGTATAAAAACAGGATACAAGACAAACAGCAAAGTAAAGGTACGCAGCAAGGCAAACAAGTTACAAAGTCATAAACTTAAATTAAAAAATATATATAAAAAACACTTATCAAAAGAGCTGGCTGTCGTCAATAAGTGACTTTGCTTATTTTAGCATACGTTCTCATTATTAATTAATAAACCGTTTTCTTAGGTTGAAGAGATCCTTGGAGTTCTGAAGCCGATAACACAGGCCGTCCAATTGCTGCAAGCTCGCAAATCCATGGCAGATGTGCAGAGCACAGTCGACATGTGTTCAGATCTTACTGCTATGCAAGTCTGCAAGGTAATAAATTTACTATTGAAATTTTAAAAAAATCGCCTTACGCAAGATTTGACCCTGGGATTATTTTATTTGGAAGGTTTATACAGGGTTAGTTAAAAAACACAAACAAAGACTAGATCACAAATAACAAATTCAGATGCGCAGAAGTGTAAACAACTAAATGTTATGTCTAATACGGAATACGGATTTGTTATTAAATTTAAAAAAATGTATCTAACTAATTAGAAATAATAAAAAGTTATATTCAGAAACTTAATAATATGCATAAATAACGTATAAATGTAAGGTACAAATATAATTTTATGAAGAGGGGAAAAATAAGCTTCAACGACATAGGTGAAAAAGTAACACCTAAATAATATTAATAAAAACCAAAGTATAAAAATCGGCTCAGGGGGAGTCGGACTTGCGCACGAAGGGTTCCGTGATGAATATGAGCAAAAAAAAAACGTTTGTTGTATAGGGCTCCCATACAACATACGTAAGTTTTTTGCCCCTTAAATATTTATTATATTCTGGTTTTAGTATTTTTTGTTTAAGCGGCAATAGAAATATATCAACTTTGAAATTTTCAACTGTCTAACTTTCACGGTTCGTGAGATACAGCTGATGACAGACAGATAGCAAAGTTTTAGAAATAGGGTTCCTGTTTTACTTTTTGGCTTAAAATGACCTGATACAGAGTGGGGAAGCCTAGATAACAAAAAAAAAACATAAATACCAAGTTCTCTTCTATGAATTTTTATAATAACAGCTATGCGTTGTATTTTGCACCTTATAATTGTTGAAATAAGACTCACTCTTGAATCTTAGATTCGGTTATCGTCGGAACTGGTACAATCTTGCAACTATTTCGTGGGTATACTTCATTAAAAATGCCTGATACTGTGCAGATCCTGAACATGTACACTCCAGCGGAGGAATACGAGGTGAAAGTGACGCGGGAATTCATACATGAGATACAGAAGAAGATGCAGGAGAAGGCGGGACCAAACGCCGACAAGGAACCAGTGAGATTATATTTTATTGCCTAGATAAATATTTTTTAACGGACGTTAATAACTGATTGATTTAGATATATATAATATAGAAATCAATTGCTGTTCGTTTGTATCGCTAAAACTCTAGAATGGCTGAACTGATTTAGCTGATTTTGGTTTTGAAATGTTTGTTGTAGTCCAAGGAAGGTTTCAACGATGAGAGGTGATACGAAGTACACCGGGTCATCTAGTAATTATTGAACTACTTTTAAACAGTTTTGTCGCGTGTATTTCTTAAAAAAAATATTACATTTTTCAAACGTTTCGGACCCTTTACACGTGTTCACTAGATTGAGATATATGTTATATTTGTACTTATTGAAAAAAAATAATACTTTTTGAACACATAAAAAAATGCAAGCGGTAAAAACTTGTTTAATTTCATTAATGGTATGCATATAAATATATCCTTAACCATCCATAAGGAAGGCCTGAGCCCCTGCAGTGGGGACGTAAAAGGGCTGGTGATGATGATGATGTCGATGATGATATAAATATACACATATATGCATATTTTAGTCAATATTACGAATGCTAACTAGTTACATGATAACATATTATTATTTTGTATAAATATTTCGTTAGTTAAATTAACTGGCGTACATTTGTTATATGAAGAACTTTTTAGGAAACACTGCTGTACATCATTAAATTTTAAATAATTATTTCCACAGCAAAATCTTTTGATGGACTCCAAAATGATATTCTCCGTACAATTTCCGTTCGACCCATCTCCCATCCGCCTGGAGGCTATCGAATTGCCTGAAGTGCTCGAGTTAGATGGATTACTCGTCAAGATATAAACCAACGGTCAAGTGAGACATGTTACGCTACAAGGACTGTTTTGTTTTTTATTCATCATACGTTTAAAGTAAAAAGTGTTCTATAATCTGTTCTAATGCCGGTGAATAAAATGAACAATGGCTAAGTATGTTGAGGGTAAACGATAAATTTGGCTATCCATAGAATTATGTATTGTTTTCGTTGAATACTGACTATTGTTGCAACGGATGTAGTCCGCGACCAATACTTCCCGTATAAACACATGATACGGACTTCTATGCTTAGCGATACGTATCGTTTTCTTTCAAAGGTCGCCTGCCCTAAGTACAGATTGCATAAAAATATCTAGCAAACATTGCTGAATTTCGATACAGTACACACATCATTACATCAGGTCACGACAGATTGTCAAATGACAGATCGAATTCGATTTTTTTAAAGATCGGAATCAGATTCAAACCGTGATAATTGATAGTTTTGTATAACATTTCGGTCACCAGATCTGTCGTAAAAGTTTATTTAATTTTCTAATAATTAATTTCATGATGTCAAGTTCAAGCTACTTTATACCTCATTTAGGTTATTATATAAAGCTCATATTGCATCATGAAACGGGTCTTGATACGTAACGCGTCTGTCGATTATTACGTAACGCGTCTGTCGAATATTGTATTTCACGATCACGCGTGAATTCCGTTAAAGTGAACTCTATGTAATGGTATTAAGACATAATTTCGATGAACTGAACAGCTCAATGGAATCTTTTAATATCATGAATTCCGTTTAAAATTATATTATTTAAAAAGGTGTTCTTCCTTCATATTTTAATTATGTTTACTCAAAAGAGTTCTATACGCTTTCTTTTTTATTTATTTATTTAATTAAATTAATTAAAAATGCATTCCATTTGTAACTTGCCATAATATTTTTTCCATACATCGAAAAATTGTTATTACATTTGTTATAATTAGTGCCATTATTGTTTATTAAATTCTTATATTAATCCTCTGTTTTTCACACATATTTACAACGACGATGAAGAAGTATAATAATTTGTTAATAATAATAATAACAAAATAATGATAATCAATTTATTTGAAGGATGAAGTTATTTGTTTGTATAATTTATTTTATATTTTTTAATATGTTATTTAAATTATAGCGTTTATGCATTAGTATAGAATATAATGGAAATCTAATCAAAACCATTCCAAATTTCGAAAAGAGATGAAACCATAATTATCAGAATTTTCCTGACGTTACTTATAAAAACTATACTTTACCAAGCTTTGACGTCAGACCAAAATATGTCTTTTTGGCATTATTTAATAAAATTATTGGTATAATAAATAAATGGCCATAATAGTATTGTATTAATTTATTTACAAAAATTCAAATATATTAAATATCATTTAACATTAATAAACGAGTGCTTTATATTGGAATAGAGTAGAAAATTATAGACCACCAGTAGCATAAAAGAAAAGGAAGCTTTTTTAATACTTATTATTTGTCCCCTCAAGTTTATTATATCAATCACGTGGCAGGCTAATATGGAGGTATATTATTCTACATATGAAAATTATAGCTAAGAGATCGAATTTAATTATAAATTATACTTCAATGCGCCACATTATTAATTTTATATAATTATTGTTACTTATCTATTTCAATATCTCGATACCTACGTATAATATATTAACAATATTTTTTTTCTAACTGTATTTTTAATCCTTGTTTTACCATCCTGTTAAATTAGTTAAAATGCAGTTAGTGAAATTTATTTACGATATTATACATATGATTCGAATGATTTATTGGCAATTTGTATTGGAGTAAACGTTATAAACTACAAATTTGTATCAAGTTAAGGAGTTCCAAATAATCATAAATCCTATTTATATAAAAAAAACTATTTACATAAATTAATGAATGGTTAACCTATAGCTGTTAAATCTTTATTAATTTTGAATACTCAGAAAAGCATAATAGCACAGAAGCGAAACGAAATCAAACAGACCAAATTTCCATTAAGGCAAGAGGGTTCTTATGGCGAGACAAATTGCTTGAAAAATAAGACCTTATAATTTTTCTCATGAAGTTGTGTGTAATTTTTAATGTTTGCTTCAATATATTTGACATTACCCGGCCACTTAAAGCAATTTAAGATTTAGTTTTTTTTTATAAGAATATTACTAGTTATTTTACGCCTGCCACATTTTATTATTTAATATTTCTGTACTGATGACAGAAGATGTACTATTCATTATTAATTATAATTAATCCGCGAAGTTAATTTTTTGAATAGTTGAAAAATAATTTGTACCTTTTGTAGATTTTTTTGTATGCTAGATGTGGTATTGATTAAATATTCCATAATATTTTGATTAAGTGTTAATTTAACTTTGAATTTAGTCGAATATTGTAATTTACATAATTATTCTCAATCTTAAGGCAAGTAAAATTTTCATCAGTTTCAATATTTATTATATAAGTAGGTACCTAATAAATGTAGATGATAATTGGATAATGTTTACACCAAGTCCAAGCCTTCAAATAATAGCAAATAAAGTCATATTTGACATTATGTGCTTGCAGAGAACAGAGTCGAAAGCGGAGGATGAAATGATTTTTCTTTACACCTCGCATTAGAATATTGACGATTCGGCGCGTATTGTAGTGCTGTTCTATTATAAAAATAGTCTCGAACTCAAAATCGAGCGCACCAATATTTCATTGAAGCTCTATGCTGTCACAACGCGGCGCTTGACGTTGAGTAAGAAGACTATTTTTAAATTTCCTCAATTGATATTGAACTCTAGTTAGAATGCATTAAGGTTTAAAATTAATCAGAGATTCCGAGTTTCTAGCCGGTTCCTCTACAAGATCTCCCGCCGTTGATTTATGAGCCGATGGCATAGCTTTCGACTTTCACAAGTGCTTGTAACAGTCTAGACTTCATAAATTATATTGAAATTGAGTAGTTTGTTTTTTTATACAAAACAATTCTTTGGCGACTTTCTTTCACTTTCTTTGGCGCTTTCCATTTCAATGAAGGAAGTATTAAAAAAAAGATAGTTCCGGAAATCCAAATAAGATGTCGCTACGAAACGTTCGTCGTTATCAAATCAATGTGTGACCTTTAATAATTATTTTGTACTTATGTAAATTGATTCTGTTTGGCCATTTCAGTCAAGAACGAAATTTAGTTTATTACAATACTCGACTCAATCAGTGCTATTAATATACAAGGTTTAGGGTCAGAGTAAAGTTACGCCCAAATTGTAATTTTAGTATTAGTCTAAATTCATATTATACAGAGAATAAGCAAACCTACTATCTTTTTTAGGAGTAAATATTGCTCCCGTAAAACCTCGTACTAGGTTAACCTTTGCTAATTCTCTGTTTAATAATATGAATTTTGACTAATACTAAGTGCAGTCTCAGTTAATTAACTCCAATACTAAACCTTGTTTAATAATAACACTGTAAATGTATTATTAATTTAAAATAAGATTGCTAAATGCATAGAGAATATAGTGTGAAGTGTTTTAGTATAATGATTTAAAATATCAGCAGTTGTACAAGTTTTTTACTATACAAATTAAAAGGAAAATACATTTTTTTTTTTTCATTGAATATCACATCAAAAGTAAAGTCGTGATAAAAATACATTGCTGATATTTTAAATTTGAAAAGAAATAGAAAAAAATAAAAGAGAATAAATATTTAAATACAGTGTTACCATTTAAAATAGGTGCTTAGCCACAGCAACTTTTGTTATAGTTATTATAATAAATGAATTATGTACTTAGTTCTAATAAAGAAAATATACTTCATAAATAATAGTTTAATGTTATTTGTACTTTTTGAGGATGTACTTAATTTGTGTTATACATTTAGTGTTATTGAAAATGTTATTAGTGAATTTATTTATATTTCTTGTGTTTATTATTTATTATATTTAATAGTGAATCTTATAATCGAATTTTTCCGCCGAGGGCGCCACTGTAATACATTTTTTAAAGATGACAAATAATAATTTCATATTAATGTTCTTCAAATTAAAAATATAATTTATGTGTTAGCATTGGTATGCTCAATTTATTTATTAATGACAATATAAATTGCTTTAGAGTTATTTAATGAAGCCGATAGGTGGCGCCATCAATAGGTTATTTACTATATTAAAGAGAGACATTATGTAATAATGGTACTAAAATGAAATATTATGAAAGCTATTATTTGTGTAAACGTTTAGGTGCTCAAGTTTAAAGTTTTACCTGTTAAAAATATATTCCAATTAAATTAACGATGTTATAAAATTGAATTTATAGTTACCTATATGTAAAATTATTACAGCGCTTCACTTTTGATTTGACATTTTATATGATCGTATAAAATATACAGTATCCATAAACTTCCCTTGAGTTTATCTTAATTGTTGATAGATTTATTGAATATCTATTAGTCGCGTCATATTTTAACTTCAAAGAAAGAAAATAGCTAGATGTTTTTTAAACATACACGGAAGTCCCAGGCAGGTTTTCCATTATTATATCCATTGTTGTAGGGAGAAAAAATAAATAAAACTTTACGAAAGGAATATTATAAATAAGACTTGATTTCATAAAGAAAAAGTAAGAAGTCAGCCGCGCTAGCTGGTTGAAAATAAAAGAAGGTCGCTTTATATTTTATTACAAAAAAATTGTGTTAACGTCAGATACATACTTAAGTACTTGGATTCCATAAAAAGACGATATAATAACATGCGAACTCTGATGCAAGATGAAAAACTATTCCAAGAATTATAAAGGAGAGACATGTTTTTCCTTATAATCAAAATGTTCGCGACATGTTATAATCATACGAACTATCAGCGATTGGGATAATGTTAAGCGATGATTGGTGTTATTTTGGAGGTTGAAAAATAATTAATTTGATATTCAATAGATTATGCTATTTCGGCATCATTATAATGAAGTTATTAGGTTTGCTAAGCATTTATTAGCAAAAAAAGATTATTTTATTTTCTTTATGACTGTACTTTGCCATTATCATGAGTTTAAATTAGAATTGAATTTATTTAATTGTTATCAGATGATTTAAATATTACTTATTTGTTAACCGGAAATTAAAATTATACAGCATATTAGTTATCCAAACATGTAAAATTTCAACAT